TCCTCCCTATTAAATAAAGCATGTCATTTAAGTAGGTATGACCTATTCTTAATCTACTAACTATTATTTCTTCTCTTCTGTTTCTTTCATTAATGTTTCGAATTCGAACTGACTTTTGCACTTCATATACAGGTGCTGGTCATAAAATTAGAATATCATGAAAAAGTAGATTGATTTCAGTAATTCCATTTAAAAAGTGAAACTTGTATATTATATTCATACATTACATACAAACTCATATATTTCAGATGTTTATTTTGTTTAATTTTGATGATTACAAATGACAACAAATGAAAATCTCAAATTCATCATATCAGAAAATTAGAATATTACTGAAGACCAATAAAAACAAAGGATTTATAGAAATGTTGGCCAACTGAAAAGTATGAACATGAAAAGTATGAGCATGTACAGCACTCAGTATTTAGTTGGGCCTCCTTTTGCCTGTATTACTGCAGCAATGCGGCGTGGCATGGAGTCGATCAGTCTGTGGCACTGCTCAGGTGTTATGATAGCCCAGGTTGCTCTAATAGTGGCTTTTAGCTCTTCTGAATTGTTGGGTCTGGTGTATTGCATCTTCTTCTTCACAATACCCCATAGATTTTCTATGGGGTTAAGGTCAGGAGAGTTTGCTGGCCAATTAAGAACAGGGATACCATGGTCCTTCAACCAGGTACTGGTAGCTTTGGCACTGTGTGCAGGTGCCAAGTCCTGTTGGAAAATGAAATCTGCATCTCCAAAAAGTTGGTCAGCTGCAGGAAGCATGAAGTGCTCTAAAACTTCCTGGTATGTGGCTGCGTTGACCCTGGACCTCAGAAAACACAATGGACCAACACCAGCAGATGACATGGCACCCCAAACCATCACTGACTGTGGAAACTTTACACTGGACTTCAAGCAACGTGGATGAAGTGCCTCTCTTCTTTTCCTCCAGACTCTGGGACCTTGATTTCCAAAGGAAATGCAAAATTTACTTTCATCAGAGAACATGACTTTGGACCACTCACCAGCAGTCCAGTCCTGTTTCTCTTTAGCCCAGGCAAGACGCTTCTGACGCTGTCTGTGGTTCAAGAGTGGCTTGACACAAGGAATGCGACAGCAGAAACCCATGTCTTTCATACGTCTGTGTGTGGTGGTTCTTGAAGCACTCACTCCAGCTGCAGTGCACTCTTTGTGAATCTCCCCCACATTTTTGAATGGGTTTTGTTTCACAATCCTCTCCAGGGTCCGGTTATCTCTCTTGCTTGTACACTTTTTTCGACCACATCTTTTCCTTCCCTTCGCCTCTCTATTAATGTGCTTGGACACTGAGCTCTGTGAACAGCCAGCCTCTTTAGCGATGACCTTTTGTGTCTTGCCCTCCTTGTGCAAGGTGTCGATGGTCGTCTTTTGGACAACTGTCAAGTCAGCAGTCTTCCCCATGATTGTGTAGCCTATAGAACTAGACTGAAAGACCATTTAAAGGCTTTTGCAGGTGGTTTGAGTTAATTAGCTGATTAGAGTGTGGCACCAGGGGCCATCAATTTTGAACCTTTTCACAATATTCTAATTTTCTGATATGATGAATTTGAGATTTTCATTTGTTGTCATTTGTAATCATCAAAATGAAACAAAATAAACATCTGAAATATATGAGTTTGTATGTAATGTATGAATATAATATACAAGTTTCACTTTTTAAATGGAATTACTGAAATCAATCTACTTTTTCATGATATTCTAATTTTATGACCAGCACCTGTAATCTTCTTCCTTTCCTATCTTCGATCCATATTTTTTGCCATTCCTCCATTTCTTTACTTTTAATAAGTGATTTCCCTTCCCCTTTTCCAAAAGGAATTGAAATCGTTATTTCCCCCTCTAAAGCCCTTTTAGCTAATTTATCTGCCTTTTCATTGCCTTTTACTCCTTCATGTGCCTGCGAGCTTCACATCCCTGGAACATCAGTCTGTTTAGCAACAGCCATTGGTGAGAACTTCTTCTTCTGCACGGGAATGCTACGGGCTGCTTTCCTGCCTTTGCTGCCACCATCTGGTGAAATCCAGTACTGCACATTTTACTCAGATCAGCTCAGAAGCGAGATCCGGGGCTCTAGGGGAAACATCCGGGGCTGCAGCCCAAGTAGCCGCCCCCTAGATCCGCCACTGATTTGGAGGTAGAGCTAGACTGATACATTGACCAGCTGATGTTATGCCGATTAGTCTGGCCAATCAGACTGATATGACAATTACATGTTGTATTATTTAAAGTGAGATTTATCTTAACATTGAGTTTTTTTAACTACTGAAATGGAAGAAAAAGTGATATTGTCCTAAACAATTTGTCCCAAAAAAAATTGTCAGCAGCACCTATCAGGTCTGTCAGATTGAAGTAATCAGTATCAGCATAGGGCCTTAAAATATCTGTTATTGTCAGTCTACATTTGCCCTTGAAGAAGACCATGACTTCAGCTGTTTTCTATCCTCTTTATACTCTTTAAAACTTGAAGTCAGTGCAGCTGTTTGTACTTCACGCTGCCCTCTGCCTTTACTCTTAATGGAGTAATTTAATTTTACTAGATTTTACTGTATCATAGTTCAGGATTAGCTAAATAACATAGCTGATCTCATATATTCTACTCAGATTATTGTACTTAGATGAGAGACATTAGACCAAGCATATACTCCAAAAAAAGGCCAGACCAAGTACTAAGGACATATTTCATGAGTGGCAACCTGTTGGTGTAAAAATATGCATGCATTTTCATTTGTTTAAAAAAAAATAAAGTCCACAATATATTATTGCAAGTCATTTGATTCATGGAGTGCGCCATGCACATGCATGGTGATGATGGTGACAATAATAATGGTACTAATGATAATTTCGATATTAATAACAGCAACAACAATAATAATATAGTATAATGATGATGATGATAATAACACTCACTCACTCACTCACTCACTCACTCACTCACTCACTCACTCACTCACTCACTCACTCACTCACTCACTCACTCACTCACTCACTCACTCACTCACTCACTCACTCACTCACTCACTCACAATACTCTAATTTTCTGAGTTTTAGAATTGTTATAATAAATATGTTCATATTCACCTCCTTGAAGGGCTTGTGATTTTACTCTCTTTATTCAAGTTTCCAAAATATATATTTTAAAAAGTCACCATATTAGTTTTTTTTTTTGTCAAGTAAGATTTATCGCAATATTTGACCTCGGTATTTCAAAATACTGGTTACGGCCCTGTCCTTGAGGATTGTTGTTATGCACTATTTAGATATGTCTGTGCTGAAACCAACCTAAATTTACATAAGGATCATTCTCAAGGATTTGTGAAACTTATCTGAACAATGTGCTGGACTTATGACACTTAAATTACACAAACTGTAGCACCCAAGCTCCGAGGAATAAAGTTGGAGACCTCTGCTGTACACTTAAAAGGACTTGCATTTCTGTGTTGTAATCCATATTTCATGTTTTTATGAAATATTCAAAATTTCTAAGAAACGTACATTGTCTTATTAAGTTTATCTTTGATTCAGCGGCCTCTGCTCTACCTTACCTTGACTACAGCGATAATTTCCTTGTCTTCTACTTTAAAAAATATATATAAAAGTAAATTTTCTTATCAGATTAAAGGAATAGTACACCCAAAACATGATTAGCCTTCATTTTCTACTCACCCTCATGCTGAACAACACTCTGGAGTACTTTTTTGATATCTCAAATGCATCTGGAGATCTGGGAGGCTTCTTGCTGTCTGCTGACATTCAAATAATGGAGGTCCATGGTGCCCGAGACAGAAAGGTCCATAAAAGTCCACAAAAAACGTGTCAATATTCCTCCATACTGCTCGTCCAATGTATTCCAAGTGTCCTGAGTGGGTAGCATCCAGAATTTACTCGAAACGAAGTCATTTAGAATGTTTTTAGAGCATAAACAGTAGTGTATAGGATTTCCTAAAAGCGCGTTCACGAGTCTACGGAAACCGCGGCAGACCAAACCAGACGAGTGCGCATTCAGCTCGGCAAAGAACTCATGCTCTTCCTCAACACTGAAGTCCTCAGACATTTTTCTTTCGTTGTTTCTTTCTTTGCACAGGTAAACAGCACATTTCTTCTTCTACGCTTGCATTATCGGCAGAGCAGACGCTGAATGCGCACTTTCATCTGGTTTGGTCTGCCGGCTTCCGTAGCGTCGTGAACGCGCAGGCGGCGCTTTCAGGACTTTCAGGACTACTGTTTATGCACTAAAAACATTCTAAATGACTTCGTTTCGAGTAAATTATGGACGCTACCCACTCAGGACACTTGGAATACATTGGACGAGCAGTATGGAGGAATATTGACACGTTTTTTGTGGACTTTTATGGACCTTTCTGTCTCGGGCACCATAGACCTCCATTATTTAAATGTCAGCAGACAGCAAGAAGCCTCCCAGATCTCCAGATGCATTTGAGATATCAAAAAAGTACTCCAGAGTGTTGTTCAGCATGGGGGTGAGTAGAAAATGAAGGCTAATCATGTTTTGGGCGTACTATTCCTTTAACCTAATAATGTTTGACTATTAAATTCAAAACTTCAAAGACTTTAAATTAAACGCCCTAACGAATTAATGATTTTAATATGTGGATTAAATGTTTAAAAACCTAACAGAAAAACACAATTTCAATGTGTGGAAAGTGTGTGAAAAGACATAACCATTTTCAAACAGGTCACAAACCGGGTAAAACATTACCTTAACCCTGCTCTGTTTGCGGAGCTGGACTGTACCATCTAAACCCGGGGTATCATAAACTTGTTAAACTATATATTTTAGCTCCTCTTTCTAGAGACCGAGTATGAACACAAATAAAACAGTTCTGTTACTGTCAATGCTTACAAGTTCGGATTTTGGTGGTGAATTATAAACACACCTATAAGAAAAAAACAACGAAAGCAGTTGACACCTCCCCTCTCGTTTCGCAACATGTCTGAACATTTACCTGTTGACTCTTTGTGTGATGCATTCAGGCGCTTCCTCTTCGCCTACATCGCGCTCGAAATGGAGTCGGTGCTTCCTGGCTAAACGGAAAAATACGTGATTCTTCAGTATAATGTTTTTTTGTGTGTGTTTTTAGTTTCTTTTTATTTGTTTCCGCTCAGTGTATTTTGATTAAGTCTCCGACAGAGGAGGATTAAATATGTTTTGGAGGGTATTCTTTGCAGTTTTAATGGCGACAGGTGAGTAGGCCTATTTTTCCTCATAACAGGGTGGGGGCTCTTCCGTGAAAACCCGTTTTCTTCGTTTTCGTACAGTTACTTTAGTTAGACTCCGTTTTATGATTTTTTTTTCTAGAATTATCAGTTAGAAAACATTAAGACTGATATTTTAATACACAAAGTTGTACTTTAACATGAAGCTTTTATTTCGTCTCTTTTATTCTGTTCCTTTTATGAGAAGGAATTGTTTATTCCATTTCCCATGGAATGAAATATATGGAATATAAAGGGAATAGTATTTGACATTTAGGAACCAGCAGTTTTATTTTTAACCTTTAAAAAGTATATACTTTTCACATAGAAATATTAAGTGACAAATGCAATCTGAATTTCGTCCAAGAGTAGAATCAAATGTTGAATTCCCCATAAATTATTTTTTATCAGTTTGAGTATAATTTTCTTGCTTATTTCTTTCCACCTGTTAAGCCTAAAATGCCTGGGGATGTCACTATATCCCTTCCCAATATTTATGTTTCAAAATATGCATAGCATAAATGACATGAGGGCATAAACTTTTTTTTGTAACTTTTTCTGTAGAAAGAGAATAGTCATAATTTGGGAAATGGCAAATATTGGTCAGATTGAGAGTGTGCAGCATGCCTGACTCATCCTTCCTACTCTCAGTGATACTAGTGATGAAGAAACATTGTTTATTATATACCACACCTTGAAAATTCTACGCTATAATCTCCATGGGCTGCAAAAGGAATTTCAAATCCTTGCTGTAATGTGTCTTTTCTATTTATGTTTTGTATTTTCTATATCTTTCCAGAGTCCATTCTGGCCATCTCGGTCAGATGTCCAACCAAGAGGTACACTGTTATTCTCTTTCAACGTGTCAACCTGATCTGTGAATACTCAACCAGTGCCACTCAACCCCCTATTGTAATATGGAAGTACAAATCCTACTGCCGGAACCCGCTCCAGGCAGCATTAAACCCCAGCAGTGCAGAAAACATCTTGTCTCAGAACAACCCAAACTATGACCCCAACATCGAGTGTGGGGACTCTGAGAGAACAGTCCGCATTGTGGCATCCAAGCACGGCGATTCTGTTACTCTGGGCGAACAATATCAGAATCGCAAGATCAGCGTCGCAAACAGTGAGTTAATAAACAATTATTTTAACGATCTTTACTAAGGATTAAATAAAACATTATAGAAAAATTTCATGGATAAAAATGGAATTTAGAAAGAGAAAAACACCCTTTTCTTTCATTTGTAGGTAGGTATTGGACACAATTATAACAACAAATCCCTCTCAAGTCATATATTTCAACAAACTTTTTTCAACATTTAGATTTTTCTATTATTTATAAGATTTTATTAACATTTTCTTTTAAAAGTCATATGTTAACTAACTGGCAGGTATATATTTTAAAATGATACATAATGGTAGTAAGTTGGAATACAAATCTTCAGTTTTAAGTCAGTTTGGTGGTTTGTAGGAAACTTGGATGAATATAGTGCTGTTCCAAATAGCCTGTTGCTGCTAAACAAAAGCTCCTACACTTACTTTTTACCTATAATAAAGACAAAGTCAGCTGCTTTTAAGTTACTTAACGCTAAGATACACAAAGGCTAAAGGTGTTGAAACTAAAGCATTACCACAAATTATTTTCTTACCAAAGTCACTGTTTTAAAACTGCTACATGAGGAAACACAGTCTAATTACCCAGGTATCATCACTCAGGTATGTTTGTTATTGTGTAAGGAGTAAAACAATAATAAAAAAAAATATGTTTTGCAAAATACTACTTACCGGTAATTCCGAAAGCACAAAAGAATTATAAGGAAATAAATGCAATAACATGATTGTAACTCTAAAATTCAGGCTATTTTAACGTCAGCATGACTGTTTTGTGTTTTCAAATAAAAGTAGTTAGCTGGTGTTTTGAATTTGTGTTTTCTGTAACTTAATGTATTTTATGAAACTAAGATTTATGCTAATGACTATCGCGTTATGTGGTAGCCATTAGCTTCCCTGTGACTTGATAGTAGACATGAGTCCAAATGTTGATGAAATATTGTCATATATGACTGATTATTAACACTCATATACCTAATTTTTGGTCATTGTAAAGTAGCAATGAGCTTCTGTGCCAAATATAATATATTATGCAAGGAATTACTTATAAAAAGTTATCAGACACCGATCAAGGGATTATTTTACTGCAAAAAAAAAAAGTAGACAAGAAAAAAAAAACATGTCGCCTAAATTGTTTTTAAAGATATTTCCTCAGTAATATCGTATCAAAGCAAATATGGTATCAAAGTAAAAAAATATAAGCAAAATGCGAAAAATAACTATGGGACAAAAAGCTAGTTTAATGAAAAAAATATTCTAAATGTGGCTAGCAACACTAGCTTGACACCTTCTAAAAATATAAGGACATTACCGTAATTAACAAGTACAGGCAAGCTCCTATCAATTATTCAGTGACTTTTTGTAGGCTATATTTCAGTGATCATCTGGTTTATTATAGTTTGTCTTGGCTGAATAAGCTAATCAAATATAAATGCAATCATACTAAATAACTGAATTAAATTCCCACTCACAGAGGCAGACCTGAACATCGCTGAGACGGCATGGGGAGACAGCGGTGTCTATTACTGCACTGTGTCTTCAGCCCAGGATCTAAAGGGGAATGGTGAATGCTACTCTGAAGTACTTGTGCTTGGTGAGTTTTTGTTTTCGATAATTTGAATACATGTCTTGTTTATTCCTTTCCTGTTTTCTTCTTTCCCCACTACCTTTCTTCTAAGTTCTTCTTACGTTCACTAAAATTATTACGCACTTAGAAATGTGAGGGTAAGCAAAATAAAAAACACAAAATTGTAGGGAAAGCAGTTTTTTCGAGGTTTATTATGTAAATGACTGAAATATATTAGGTAATGAGATAAAAAAAAATAAGGTATTTGCCAGAAACCTGATTTCTATTATGTAGGCAGCAGAGTTAGGCACCACCATAAAATAATTACAGCTTTATTTGTCTTTCACAGAGAGAAAGTCAAATACTACTGACCTCCTGCCTGGCATTGACTTACTGGTTATGGAAGGTAGTACGATCCCCTTGTGTGACACGAGTGGAGGATAGTGGGGTGCATCAGGTTTCATTGTAGAGATTACTCGTCCCTCTCTGGCTTCTTTAATAAGGGGCTTTAAACCCATGTGCTCCGTTTACATAACATCCAAAATGATCAAATCTTCTGGGAAACAGTTTTAGAGATAGACAAGGAGCAAATACCAAGCACTATGTCAACTATGGCACATTTGAAGAGACCGAGCTCTTCCTGTGAACATTCTGATGTAAAAAAAAAACAATAACAACAAAAACAGATCTGTAGAGAGGTTTCTCAAATATTTTTCTTTTTTAATATGTCTTTATATTGTTGGAGTGCATTGTTTCCTAATGCGGTTTCAGTTGCAACACTGCTTTTCCAGGCTGATCAAACAATAACTCTGTGAACCTTTCTTTATTTCTGTCTGTAGCCACATTAGGTTTTCATTTCACTCTCCGTGTCCCCTCTGTGTTATGCGCTGCCTGATCTAACATGCTGAGTAAACTAGATTTACTAGTTTGACAAGGCCTAAAAAAATGTTTCCATTTACATGTTTGGACTTAGATTATTTTTTTTTCTCTTTTCAACCGAGAGCATCAAAGAGGCTTTTCATAACACAGACTCTCTGCTGTTGTAAAGTTATTTTTTTTCAATAAAATTGCAATTTTTCACATTTTTATTTTTATCGATTCATTTTCTGTTGCTTTCTTTTTAGTACCTACCAGCATTTCCTTTTATTAATTACTAAATGTTTCACTTTGGCCCACACAGACTGGCTCCTTGTGGTTCTGGTGGTTTTGGGCTTCTTTTTGCTCCTTCTTCTGATCGGGATCTGCTGGTGCCAGTGTTGCCCACACACCTGCTGCTGCTACGTCAGCTGCCCCTGTTGCCCAGAACGCTGCTGCTGTCCACGAGCATGTAAGTGTCATGGAGGGAAAAAAACGATACAGGATTAAATGCATGAATATATTTTTGACTAAAAAAGTCTTAAAAATGGTGCACACTGTAATTTTACCAATATTGAACCCTTTGGTTCTTAATGCAATAGAAGTAAATATTGAAGAGGTTTTAAAGTCATTCTGGGAGTAAAATGTTTTATTTGATAATATAAATATATGGTCTGGTTGTATAGTAAAACATCCAAGATAATATTGCCTCGGGGTGCTAAGATTACTTTGAAAGGCTATATGGTGATAAATATTCAAGCATTACCAAAGGGGAAGCTTTATAATACTCGTATCTCCATTTGCTGGGTGCTTAAAAATCTTTTTATAAAGTCTCTTATAAACAATCAGAAGTGTCAAAGTTTTGTTTTTTATTCAATTAAAAACCTGGAAGAGATACACTGATGAGTTTTTTTCCTAGCAAATACTGGTTTCTAGTTTTCTGTTAAGTATGATTAGCTTTTCCTTTTTCAACGATTTGTTCCACTGGTTCTTTGCTCATTGGTAGTGGTTTTAAATCCATAAGCAAATAAAGGGATTACACCATTTTCACCAGTTTCTGCCACCAAGCATATCTCTCCAAGTCTTTCTGATTTCTAATTAAAACAAAAAAGTCAACCAAAGTACATGCTGGTAATACATTTATTGGCTAGAAGTTGGGAAAGGTTTTCGCATTGATGCATTTTAAAGGATTGAAATGGGGTTTTAGTTCAAGGTTTGTGTAATTAGTCCAAAAGAAAGTTAAATGTTGAAAAAAAACACCATTTACCAAAATCAGAATTTTCCCAGTCGATTCCAAGATTGTTAAAAAAAAAGTTGTTGTTCTTTCACTGTCGCAACATGCTTGAACAATGAGAGCTAGATCTGTTAAATCAATGGTTAATAATTTGACAGGCTTCTGCAATGCAATCCAGTCTAGCTTCATTTATAGAGCCTTTTGAAATCCCGCCACGTACCAAAGTTCTGTTCTGAGTTCAAATGAAACACAGCTCAAGACAATCTAGATTTATTATCTGTTGAAATTATAACCTAAATGTGACTGTATTGAACTACAATTGGAATTGAAAGAATCGGGTTGTAATTATGTATAATGTATATTAATGGATTTGTTATATGCTAAATTTGGACCTGATTTGGAACTAAAATGAAGTATTCTTGTTGTCCACTCCTTGTGTGCATGTTTTGTTGCTTTCGAAAGGTTGTTAAAGGTTGCTAAAGTGTTGTGGGTCTTCAATTAACGTTCTTCTATTACATTGCAGTGTATGAGGCAGGAAAAGCGGTGAAGAAAGGCATGCCCAATCAATATGCCACACCCATGTTCTCTCCAAGTCTGTATGCTCAGCCTATGTATGGTGGCTCACAAGGTAACCAGCCTGCCTTTCCTATGCTGCCCGTACCCAACGGGGGTGGGCCTCCCCCAAACAGCTATGGCCGTGACTATGATGTTGCAAGCTCAGGTAAAGCAATGTTTAAAGCTTGTTACAAGCTACTTTTTAACTGGCATACTGATACAAACCTGATTTAATGCCTAAATCTTTATATATATTCATGAAAGAATGTTTGAACGACGGTGAACTTACTTGAGTTTTCGTGTATTTTTCCCTGCAGTGGGTCAGGGGTCACAAGTGCCTTTGTTGCAAGACGGCGGAGGAGACCATAGTAAGTAAAGGGAAAAATTGCAATGTGTCAGGGTATGTATATGGAAATGGAAGTTTCATTAGAGCATTTCTCGTTTAAACTCAAGGCCTTTGGCAATTAGTAACTACACCTTTACAGGACTTAATAGAGCTGAAGGGAACAGGTATAGAAATATTTGACATCACTGCCTTGTAGTTTTGCTAAAATCTATCTGATTTTTTATTTATTTTTGGCCCAAGGTTTGAAATGTCAACGTAAAATAAAACTGTTGGATTTCCTCGCACATCTCCCAAAATAAGGCATCTATAAATAACTTATGGAAGCAGTCATTGTAAAGGAAAGCCAATTTGTGCCCTCTGCTGTCAAGACTGTAGTGGTTCCCACAATGAGACGTGCGCCTCCTAGAGGTGTTGATGTATAATTGCAGGGGAAGGGGTAGAAATTAGTTTGGACCAAGTTTGGAAGTTTTTTTTTCATTGATAGCAATGTTTAATCTTACACATCAAGGCCTTTGTGCTATTTTCACATTGGGTCTGTGCAGTTTCTGTCATTTATTGTAATCGTAGACTCAAACTGTTGTCATCCTCTTATAAAGTCTGATGATGTATGAAAATCCCAAAAAACAGTAATCTCTCCCCCTCTCAGTCCTTTTCTTTGTTTGTGGTTTGACAGCACAACAATCAATGCATTTACGTTTTCAAAGTTAACATGACTCATTTATCTTTACCCGTTGTTTAGTAAAGTTGTGCAGTGTCGTTGACTTTGCAGTTATGTCTTTCTGAGCAGCAACCGTCAAAAATTGTATTGTTTGTGAAGTAATTCTTTTAAAATTGGCATTTTATTCTTAAATTAAGATCAATTTTAAGGCTCTTCTATGTCTCTGGCTAAATTAATTGCTAAAGTTAAATTTAATGGTGCCTTTTTTTCTATTTACACCTTTGTGGTGATTGGGATCATTACCTTAAACTTTAGTTTAGAATTTGAATTTATTACACCCATCCCTTCCTGCTACCCAGCAAGACATTTTGCTGACCCCTCCTCCACCAGAAACGGCAATAGTACTTCAGTTGTCTCATTTAGGTAATCTAAGTAGGTAGGTAGAGGAACTGGCAATAAAACTTCTCAGTAATGTCTCCAAACCCAAGCGGGGTATTCCGTATATGTCGGTCTCTTTTGATCAGATGTAAAGGAATAAAATATGTTCTAATTGAATCCCCATATGGAGTATCATAGCAACACCTCCTAGACAGAGCTGGTTGGATAGAATATGATGGAATTAAGATAAACATCTTATATATATATATATATATATATATATATATATATTAACCAATTATCATTATATTTCAGATGGATTAGTGGTAACTGTGCCCCTTTTTTGTCTCCATAGCTCGTAGTGGTTATCGTATCCAGGTGGACCCAGATGGAAATGCAACCCGAGCCATTTACTACATGGAGAAAGAGCTGGCCTCATTAGACCCATCCAGACCTGCCAACTACAACCGCTGTGAGTGACTTCCTGTGGTTCGGTAACACTTGTCTGCCACAAACCAATGTGGCTAAACATACATCACATTTCTCTCAACGAGTCACTTAACTGTTTTCTGTGGCTTTGATATGTACGACTAAAGTAGTTCATTGCACCTGCTCAGTGTCTGAAAGGGTTCTCTCTCAAAACAATCCTACCTATAATTTATTAACATCCTCTGAAAACTGTGAGACGAAAGGTGAACCTGTATGGATGGTGCTACAACAGCATTGCTATGGTAAAAGTTTTATCCACTTAAACTATGAAGTAGTTCAATTAAAACTGGCTTTGGTCAAGAGTGATTTAAATGTATTAGTCCAAATATATTTTGTGATATGATTGACTAATTGTTGTTTATAGTTAAACTGTTATGACTTGCTGCAGACAAAACTGTTTAGGATTAAAATAAAAGAAAATGCAATTACTAAATTATTGATTGAGTTGATATTGCTCACACAGAATTATCTGTGTTGTTATTTTTAGTTCACATACTGTGAAGATATACGTGTCAATTACTACATACCATAATTATTACCATTTATAAGCTTTACGTGCCAGTTTTACTGTCTAGTTTTAAACAGGTTTTTAACTCATTGGTTGGATATATCTGCACTGTGCAAGGATTTAAACGTAATAATGAGGCCAGTTTATTTAGAGGTAATTTCAGAAACGGGACCATTTAAAGTGCTGTACATGAACAAGAGATTATGGCAAACAACAGAAAAGAAGTTGGCATAGTTGGTGAATAAAAACTAACCAGAAAAACTAAATGAATTATTAACAAAATAATAATAATAGTCCTAATTTCTGAACCTGGAAAGAAAAAAAATCATCTTTGTATATATAAACATGAAAACTTCTTTTTGGACTTCACTTTGCTTACAAATAAACTTAACATTTCAGCTTCTTTGCATTGATTAATTCTGTTATTTTTCTCAGTGGAAAACATGAGCACAGTCAGCTCCCTGCATGACAGTGTGGAACCCCGAGGCCGCGGTGGGCGCCCTCCTATGCCCACAGTTTATGACCAAGATGAAGCCATGAGCACGATCAGCAGCGTGTCCCAGCAAGGCCGGCGTCGGGATGACTATCCACGCCATGGTGGGGGTCCTATGGCGAATCGTGGGCGTGCCCGCTCCATGGATAACCTTGACGACATTGGACGGCGCTACAGAGATGATTACCCACCACACAGAGGCCCAGATGAGCCTAGAGGCAGGAGGGGGTAAGTCCACTCTGCAGGAGCAGAGATCATAGTTTGAATGCAGAGTTCAGGTTTTTTTTTTAACTCCAGCATCTCAATTGAATGTGCCGAAAAGGTATCGGGCCAAGACAATCCAACATGTTGGATGTCCCTGGTTTGCTGTCAGATGCATTGCGATGTTCTATAGAGAGGACTTATCACTCTTAAGATGCCACACACTACAGGATTATCGCCCTGTTTTATTAAGCCCAAGAGGCCCCAACATCAGATTGATTGAATTGCAGCTTTTAGGACATTTTTTGCCAGTTAGATTGAGCAGTCTGATAACCATTTTCAAAAAAAGGTGCTTGCAGTCTGGAGGAGATGTTGGGTAACTGATTAAATAAACGTTTCATGGTGTTAGAAGAACCCCGGCTCTCCCTCTGAAGTAGTAATACCATATATATCAGTAATCTTGAGATTTCAGGCTTGCTAGTTTGGACTGAAAATAAGAGGCAACATTTTTCACTTTATAAAACCTCAGCAGTTTGATTAAAGCATGCAATGATTCTTGCTTCTTTAAACCTACAGCACCTTATTTAAACCTACAGTACCTAATTTAAACCTACAGTACCTTGTGTACCCATAGATCTTATAAGTAACCATACTCCATACTACCCTTGTCAAATTTCCTGACAGTTCCGAGAAATGTCGTCTCCCAGATGTATCACTTATTTCCCTAAAAGCTACAGTACTGCAGATTAGTTATGTATGTGAGCATCCTTGAAACCACTCTCTAGCTTTAGGTTGGAGTATTTTATAACAAAAATGAGCTTTAAGTTTGAATGTACCAGTTGAGTCTGCAAGTTTATCTAGTGAGTAGTTTCTCTTAACTACCCAAGGTCATTATTTGATTGAATATGCAACCTATCAACCAAGACGCGTCTTTGTTACTTAGATTGCTGTAGTACTAAGCTGTTACTATTGCCAATTTAGCAATGTGCGAGATGCATCTTGACCTCCTTGTTGTAGTTTTTAAGCCTCTGTAACGAAAAGCTAATATTTGGTGGATTTCTATTTGTTTTGATTCACTTCCCCAGTTCAATGGGAACTGTAACTACTACTATATTTAAAGGTAGAGAAAGCCATTGCTTCAGACCACTTGTAAAATAAAATTATTATTTTCTGATTTTGAAACTGTAGTCATTATGGATGCCAATATTTTTTATAGTTCTACAGAAACAATAATGCTGAGCCGGGCTCCAGGAAAAAGTTTTGTTGTAGTGCAACATTTGATTTGTTCATGCCATAATAATTATGTTTTTTTTGCCTTTACAGCTCTGATGAGTGGAGCAGTAGTGCTCGCAGCGGCTATGATCGTAACAATGATGACCGGAGACGTCGTGACTACTCCCCTGAAGATCGCAGAAGGGGCGGAGGAGCCCAGAGCGGCCTCGCAGGGCGCCGCTGCCACAGTCGTGATGACATCATGGAGATGGAGAGAGACCGCAGGTATGATGGTGGAGCCAGGGGTGGCCGTGAAGACTACGACGACAGCTTCCTGCGAGAGGCCTTGGAGAGGAAGCGGCTGGGCGAGCAGCAGAGGGCGCGCAGCCGGGAGCGATTGGATAGCGAGAGTGATCGCTCTGATCGGGGGAGGGGTCCACGTGGGCCACCACCACTTCCTATGAGCCCGCCTTCTGGATATCCTGATCGGCGGGATAATTATCCACCACCTCAGCCGCCACCATACAGTGACGATGAGAGTGTGTCGTCTTCAAGGAAAACAAACCTCCGCAAAGTAAGTCCTGGTTTATCAATGGTAAGCCATTACATGTGTGCCCTTTAAGGTAGAGTTGCACAGAGAAATCTGCAGGCTTTTCGCTTGATGATTGTGATTCGCCAAACAGATATCCAAAAATCCAACCTTTTGTTAATATCACCACTTTCGCATTTTAATAACAGAGGCCGCCAATAGTATTCAGATTTGAAATGTAACAAGCTTAGGTATAACTGGCAACTGCAATGCTCTAACCACAGCTCCGCCACATTTACATCATCAGTAGCCGTTCAGATTCAATATGCATCTAAATACAAGATAGAATAAAGCATAAAAATAAATCGCATCACACTCACCAGAGATTCTGATTGGTTATAGACAAAATCCATCCTTCTTTCTTTGTACAGGATGTCTTGGTTTTCCATTTATTATCAGCCATTGTTGCTAGTAAAAACTTTTAACAAAAGAGAATCTAAAATTCAGATTTTTGCTTGCTTATCTTAGCTGTAAACATTTTGCTCTAACTGACCAGTCAGGGGACAGAAAATGCTGATGTTCACGTGTGCTTGCTAGCTGGCCCAGTGGGGCAAATCTAATTGGTTGAAGAAAATGTTGCACACTAATACTGTAAAGGTAAGATTAACCAGCACTTCTGATGCTGAAAGCCCTGGGAAGATTGGACTGAAATAGCAACACAAAGAGGCTGAAATCTGATTGGACAAAAAATATATCAAACACATCAATGTAATAGAAACGTCGCAGCAAAGAGAAAGGCAAAAAAAATTAAGAAAATTGATTGTTTGGAATAAAATAATACTATTGGATTGAAGAAATGTAAAGTTTAGGTTATGAATGTAGGTTAGTGTTTCTAATTGATTTTAGGACAGCAGTGAAGGCCCTAAATCTCACACCACTGCTGAGACCTGAGCTCACTATTGGAACTGATTGGTGAGGAAGCTAGAAAAAGCAGAGTACCCTTTTATATTACTCATAATACTAGTTTAAAAGTACCGCTTCACTATTCAGCACCAGAACCATCTGCTGATGGACATTTTAGTGCATTGTTTTATGCTGTCATGGGGCGATCAATAAGTTAGCCGTATTTAAATAGATTGTGTTAGCCCATCCCATGCAGTAGTTTACTCATTTACTGCTATAGAAATAGCAGCGTTACTTACCTTTTTAAAACAGTTCTGACATCAGGATGCTAATGCTTCTGGTATCCTTTGACTGTTTGGCTTTTCCTTTTTTATTTTCATTACTGGCAAAACGTTTACAAACAGCACTTTGGCTCTTGTCTTGTTAACTAAAGAGGGTCTTGAAATGCCCTTTCTTGATGTTCTTTACTTATTACTAGAGTTACTGGAGTCAAAGCTTTATAAATGTGGGCCTACATTTGGAACAGTGCAGCTCTATTGAAGAAAGGGTCTTGGTAATATTTCTAAGATGAGGCAGCCAATAAATTAGAACCATTAATTTCATAGATACTGTTTGGTATCATTTAGTTATTTATTTGTTCTTTGTATAATTTTGAATATGATCTTATCTTTTTGTTGTTTAAAAAATGTGTTGTTTTTTTTTGTTTTTTTTTAGTTTAACTAAAACAGTAATGATTACTAAGTATAGTAAAGATTTAAGTTGTAGGAGTAGATCTTTAGCTCCCATATATTAAATAAATAGTGCTAAAAAAAAACAAAAAAAGGGAGAATTAAATCCTGAGTATATAGGAAATAAATTAGAGTTATGTCTTAAATTAGATTGTTTTGGGTTAATTTGTAAATTGTACATTCCTTTTTTTTGTCTTGCAGAATGGAGCTGTGAGCCGTGAGAGCCTGGTTGTATAAACAAATCAAGACCTTGAACGCAGCTTTAATCTCAGAAAATAATGCTGTTGGTATCTAACATTATGTATATATGAAACTCCCACCTCTAACCTGATATGCTGATTTACTGTTTGGCTGCTGATTTAGTTTTGTATTAGATGTAGTTTGAAACTTTTTTTAACAAAAAGAGGCACAATCTGTGTCTGTTGTTTCATGTAAAAACAAATGTGGCTGCCACAAGTGCCTTAATGTGTACAGAGTTATAGGTGTAGATGTTAAATCCATTATAACGGACCCCTTTCTGTTTGTGTTCTATGTTTTGATCAGTACAGATTAACATGCTTCAGTTGGGTTTCAGTGCTTTGGATTTTTTTTTATGTTAGCTTTAGAGTTCTGGTCTGTCAAAACATTTTGTTTTCTATACTTGAAATTTTTTTAAAGGAAATTATGTACATTTAAAATGAATTTGTTTTAGCTTCAGTTATTAGCCTTGTCCATGTTTTTAAGACATAACAAATGACACTTAGGACAGATTTTTTGGCTGTTTTCTTTTTTTTAATACCTGGCATTTTAATTAATTGCATGCTGTACAGCTGACCAGATTTATGCTTTGATAATGCAAATGTTTATTATATCATGAAATGTAATTTTACATTAAACCTAAAAATTTTGCTAAGCTGCTCTGTGAACTTGGACTGTGTCACCACTAGATGCCACCATATTGTTCATTTTTCAACAAAGATTTTTTTTTGTAGGCAGTCATCTCCAATAGAACAATCAGAGACGATGTTCTATGCCAACCATGAGTCAGACTCCAAACAAATGTCACTATTATCGTGCACATCACACCACAAAAAAACGAAGTACAGTCAGAACACGCCTGTAGTTTATGTAGTGTGGTGAATCAAAATGTAGAAGTTCAAAAGTATATTTATTAATCTCAAAACAAGAATGGAAAAAGTATGTTTTCTTTTTATCAAACTATTTGTTTAAAAATGTATATTTGAGATATTTTGTTTCTTTTTCCTTACTAGTGAAAATTCTAATTATATCAAGCCTTTAAGAACTGTATGTGACTTCAGTTTTCTAGATAAAAGCTCAGTCTCTTTTACTGGCCTGCTTATGATTGGTGTTAGCATTTGGCTGAAACATCAGAATTTTGTGTTGTTTTTTTTTACTGGAACAAATATGAAATAAAGTCTCTTTGCCTTTTAAGACATGACTGTCACTCGCTCATGCTTCAGTCACTTAGAATATCTTTATTGCAGTGATTAGAAAAATCAAGTGATAATTATACATTCACCACCAAGCAAAGTAATATATTTAAAGCACGTCTTTGCTCACAATGATAATTCTGTCGTAGAGTAAATAAAAGCTCTTTTCCTTTTCAAAATATTAGAGTATTACAGAAGACAACCAGTGTGATTTGTAGAGGTTATGATCCATACAATCGTGGTAAAAAAAATTGTCTCATTAACAGGCTCACAGAGAGGCTTGTACTTATATAGGGGACTCCAAAGTCCTTTACACAACAATCTATCTTAAACACACTTTGATGGCAAGCTACGTTGTAGCTACAGCTGCCCTGTGGCTGCCATACATACAGTGAGGAAAATAAGTGTTTGAAATCTTCTATTGCAAGTTCTCCCACTTAGAAATCATGGAGGGTCTGAAATTGTCATTGTAGATGCATGTCCAAAAAAAAAAAATCAAGAAATCACAATATATGATTGTTTAACTACTTATTTGTATGACACAGCTACAAGTAAGTATTTGAGCACTTGAGAAAATCACTGTATGCCACCGGACCTCTGGCCGCCATCAGGAGGCAATGTGGGTGAGTTGCCTTGCCTAAGGACACAACAACAGGTAAACAGAGCTGGTGTTCGAAGCAGCAACCAGCTTCCTATGCCACCGACCTCTCAGAACGCTGTATTAAAATGAAGTCAGTGGTAGAAAAAGATTTACTGTAGGAGAAAAAAAGATGCAACAGTAAAAGATCACCTTGATGGATTTCTTGAGCAAAGCCTGTTTACAGATTTATGAGCTTTAGATGCTATCAGTGCTTGGACATCTAGGACATTAGCTACAGCGTTTACAATCATTGATAATAGAATAAATTTGGTATTTTATTTAAAAAACCTCTTGGTTTCATCATTAAAGATTACCTATCCTTTTGAATTTAACATGGTTTCATTTATGATTTTTGTGGTTTTTCACCATAAAGATTGAATAAAATAAAAGAATGAAGCCACCACCATCTGATTCTGTCATAATAATACATTGTGTTATTTAACAGTAAAGGGAAAGTGATGAACACTTTGGGGTGTTTTCGGTTTTAACAAAGGTTTAAACAATCTGGGCATATTTATTTCTGATTGTTTTGACTGCCTTTTCATGGTACTAATTGCTTCTCATTGTAATTCCACAATGATAGTGTTTGGAATCTGCATTTTCCCTGTAGAGATCACAGATTTATTTTGCCAAAGAGCCAATCTGCTGACAGAGGGAGTGAAATGGAGGGAGGAGAGAGAGCAGCAGAGTAAACAAATGTTGAAGGAGAGAGAAGGATTCTTACTCGCATCTGATCAGATCAGCTGATAAGGTAAGAGCTATCTTGCCCATTAGATAGCAGTTTTTAGAATAGTTTTGCATCTCATTTTGAAAAACAATTTAAAAGTAGCCAGATTTTCAGCCCTGTCAGTTCTTTTTTTTTTTTTTTGCAACAGAAGTTTTGTGTTTGTGATCGTTTCATGACAAAATCTCAGAATTTGTGATTATAGTTTAATGTGATTGTGAATCTATCAGCTTTTTTCACATACTGTAATCTGGTTATATTTAAAAAGAAGATGAATAGCATTGTTTGTCAAATCTTTACTGAATTTATTATATGCTTATTTTGATCATATAAAAAAACTATTTTTAGTAATTATTTTCTATCACAAAAAAATTATAAACAGATAGTAATTTTGGACATTTATTTCTAACCACACCATGCCAGGACTTAAAACCATTTTCTTTTTCCTATTTTATGTAATGAGATATAAATAGAACTATGGAATATGGTGTTAGTTCAACTACTGTCTATTAAAAATAAAATTTAATGTGATAAAAGTCTGATATATCGTTGTCTGTTAAAGACCTGATTTTGACTGTGAATCAAACAGACTCTCAATCCAACAATGACAGTTGGAATAAACATTAGAATATAAACAAAGTGGGACAGTTTGGAGATATTCTGCACCTTTGGGAATACAAGCCCCATTTAACCCAGGGCAGCAGCAACATGTCATCGCTTAGGATCAAGCTCCCCAAATGAGGTCAATAATCATTCAATTTGCACATGTGAGCAGAGTTTTATCTCATGATTTCTGATTTTATGCAACTGAAATTGTTATCTGTTAAACATAGATCTGTTTATGTTTTATTTACTCTCCATTAGCTCAGTGCGCCTTTGATATTCCCAGACTGACTTGAAATTAAATGAAGCAGAGCGGTTTTTACAATCAGACAGGATTCATGTTTTGAATGCTGTAAGGAAATATCAAATGCTTTAATAACCTGCAAGCTGGAATAATGAGGGACAAAATGTTAGCTTTTTCTAACTACTTATGCAGCCAACCTCTGTCATATAAAGTTGATAGGATGGACAATGGATCCTTTTTCCCAATGCTGCTCTGTTGCTCAACTCTCCAGCAAAATCCCAACAACCTCCATCCACACCACCCACACAGTTCTCCCCAAAGCGCCCCTAAAATACACCGTTAACCTATAAAAATGGGATTTTTGTGTCTGCTTAAAATACTTTTAATCTCATGTTAGTGGCTGTAGACAATGGAAGTAATTCTTTTGAAGGCTGTGTTAGATTCCCTGTACACTGAACACTGTCTAATTAATGTCGTCTAACTGAAGGTGAACCTGCTCTGGTGCCCTGCTGAGCTTTGGCACTTTGCATCCTGCAGCTCACAAGAAATCAGAATATGTTTGTTAATTTTGACACCTCACGAATATTATTATCATTATTGATGTAATTATGGAAAGTTTGAGCTTTGCTGAAAACATTTATTTGAAAAAACATAATCAGATCATATTCAGTCTCTAAACTGAGCAACAAAAGCCACAACATGCTTAATTTAAGTTATTAATATTGCACTCAACCTTTTAGATAAGGATATTGGATAGGGATAAATTTACATCTAATATTTGGTTAGTTAGAAACAACCAATTCTAGTATGTTGTTGTCAGAAGCTATGAATTTAACATAATCATTAAATTCTGATTAGGTATGTTTAATTAAAACATTTTTTTCAAGCAAGATTTTTTATTTCTTATCTGTGAATAATCAGTGTGGATCATCCTTGTGTAAATCCTTGGTTTCACCCTAGTAGTGGCCATTAAAAATAGCAAGAAGCCATAAAAGTTACAACCAAGGGAGCAAGGTCTAACAAAGGACAAAGACAAAGAAGGGAGAGCAGAGAAAAGGGGATTGTTTTGATTAAAAGACAATTATCTGTTTGCATCGACTTCCCAGTGTTGTGTGGTGTCAGGCTCCAGCTAAGCTGTTCTGTCCCAGAGAGCCTCTGGGGACAATGGCTACTGTTTCAGGAGGAGGGGCAGCATTTGTTTGCTGGTCTTGGATTTTCATGTCATGCTCATATCAACATACAACTCATGAACAATATTAATACTATAAATGTTTATGTGCTTATCAATAGCATTGCAAACCAGCTGTGTGGACACTTTAAGATATAACATAATTACTTGCAGAAAATTATTTTAAGCAGTTATTATTTTTATTATTTTTGACTCTCAATTATCTTTTTGAAGGGTACCAACCAGATCCAGGGGAAATGTGTTGAATTACATATGGAAGTGGGACTTTCTAATGTTTCTAAGAAATTTCTTGATTTAGATAAGCTGTAAAGAGAGTTAGGTTTAACTTTAGTTATTAGATGTTCACATATTTCATATCTGTCCTTGCATGACCATATTGTCAGTATGTCCTGTTCAGTGTTAGGGTTGGCTTTAAGCACTGTGACACCAGTTGACTGTGTGAGTCATCTAATGGTAATGCAGGAGTGCTTGCAGGGACAGCAACAGAGATGATTTAGCATTTCAACCCATATTGATGGTCAGATTTATCAGTGCAAAGTAAAGGGATCTTATAAAAAGTCCTCCTATCCTTTAATCAGCTTCCTCACATAATAAAAGGGACATCCTTTGATTACTGATTCTTAAGAAGCTTACATATATCATCTCCAGCAACTAACCATCATTTTAACACTGCACACCCTTTTGCAACTTAAAACTAGAAATTATTGTTAGTGAAAATCTTTATATTGTTTAATATTTCACATTTGTATATAAAAACATGTAAAACCTTCCATATAGTCCACTTGAATATGAAAATAATGACAAAATTCCGCTCTTTTACCATTAACTCCAATTTATAGAGACTAGACCTGAGTGTTATGTTTATATGTTCAACAGCACAGGAAACTTGTTCTTGTCTACTCTCTATTCAATGAAACCCTAACACTGGGTAATGCCTTTTAGTTTTGTTTTATTTGCCAAGTTTTAGATATCTTTAGCAAGTGACAGTGTTTCGTGAAATCATTGATAAAGATTCTCAAGGTTTGTGGTGTTAAAAATATGATAGGGTTTATTTAACAGATTGAAAAACATAATGCATAGGCTTGAAGTTAACAGATACATGACTTCCAATATTTTTTACACACAAATATTGGGGAGTAAATTTTTTGTTCTGTGCCCATAAGTCAGTTCTGTTAAAACCAACTATCTGTCTGTTGAAATAGTTCTCTGCAGCTTTTCATGGTAAAGTATAAACATTTCACAAAGTTTTTAATTCGAAGTAGCTTACAGTCAGTTGTTGTGTGGATGATTGTGTGATAAGGGTCACTTTCCTGTGGAAGAACCTTATCATTCACTCTCAGATCTTTGACTGTCCTTAATAAGTCTTCCATCAGAATATATATATATATATATATATATATATATATATATATATATATATATATATATATATATATATATATATATATATATATATATATATATATATATATATATATATACCGTTCCACTGAAGACAAAAAAAATCAGATGATGGTAAAAAAATATCTTTCAGAATTATTTTTAAACAAAAACTTTATTTATTAGAAAATTGTATGAACATATATCTATTTATCATGCTCCTTTAAAGCTTGTGAAATGTTGCCCTGAAAAAGAAACACATAGAGTTTTTATTCCCATTTGGGCTGGGTATTGATTTAAGTTTCCAGAACTGATTTGATTCAGATTCTACATATTTAAAATTTATTATTTTCTAATTCGACTAGTTCCATGATTTTAGCTTTTACCTGAACTACGTGACTCTGTAGTGATGTAACACATTGATTCTACTATTATATGCACATTCAATAGCAAATTAGTAAAGTAATGCTAGTTAATAGCAGCTGTATAGACTCTGTAAAATGCATTGATTAAAAAATTCAACTTTTATTTTGTAACTTGATCTGTAGGCATTAATATGAGAATCTATTTCGAATTGGAATATCGATTTTTTAACACAGCCTTAGTTTCCACAGGTTGCTTTGTTATATGACCTTTTGCAGACCTACTTCCTGCACCATTTATGTTTTCACTTATCCATAAAGGATTTGTGGAGGACACAAAAAGCCTTCCCTTCCACAGATTCTAGACATAAACTGTTAAGCAATCCAGATGTTGGTGTTTATGCTGCTCCTTTAGTTTATGTTCTCACTGTCAGCTTACATGTTCAGTTATTTAATTATCTATCAAAGGTTGAAACCACAATCATGTTACTGTCTGTAAATCTTCTGTTTGTTCACAAAAGTTATCATGAAACTCTTAGATGTTTATTGACCGCTGGCCTTTTATTTATTTATCTGTAAAGATTTTTATACCTATGTTTAATTTTTTTTCCACTGCATGTGAATGCATTAATCTATATTATTGCATAATATTCAAGCCAAGCAAACAATTTTCTGATTGTATTTCAACACAATTTATAAATGTTTAAGGGGTATAGATACTTTTGCAAGGTTATAAATATGTATAGATTTTTAGATACACATGTGTACTAGTTCCTTTCTCCTGTTTTTATCAACTGTTGTTGGAATGTATCTTCAATTGAAAAGTTACTGTCAAAATTAGCTCTTTCTTTAATGCAAAATAAGCAGGCAGTGAATAGGATAATCCATCAAAGTGAAAATATTTTTCCTTACAAATTAGACATGAGCTAAGAATTTCAATCTACCTCAAGGTAAATCAAATATACCGGTATGTATTTGTTTTTTTTGCTGAATCATAGCTTTAACCTAGCAAAATACCTGGGATCCACTGGGTCATACTCCGAAAACCAGATGTACTGTAACTGGGACAAAGCCTGTAGATGTGCAGTTATGTTTCGGTGGGTTTTTCAAAAGACACAACGATGATTCTTTGTGTCTTTTGAAAAGAAAATAGCAAAGATGTTATTCATGGCAGCCCAATTTTTGAAAGGATGCATTCAGAAAAAACCTTAAGAACTTTTCACACTTTTTACTCGCCTTCCCCTTAACCTTCCTCATAATCTTCTCATAGCTGCACCACCTCTGTTCATCTGTAATGATGTACTGGATTCAACAAATGTCACACCATGCTGTCTATTAGTCCTCACTGATCAAAAGTTCTCAGTTTCATCCAGCACAAACCAACTGGCCAAGTGGAGTCAAAACATCTTGAAATTCAAAGCCTCACCCATATTTGTTGGGGAAAGTAAGAACAGCAAACCCTTTGTGGTTCTGCTGTATATTTATGAATGGTTGAGCCTTTGGGCGAAGCTGTAGAACAATGCTGCTACACTGAAGGGCTGATTTTCATAAGAGAAGGGGGCTGATGTCGGTGCTGGGGAGGGCCACTATTGGGGCTTGGTACAGCGAGTGGCGAGAGCTTCTGCTGGTGTGACTCCTTACTTGTGAGCGTCTAGGGGAGCATAGCTGGAACCGTGCCTAGAGGAGCTTTGGACTTTCACCGCAGTTACCTACACAGGTAAAATTTGAATGTTATATTTTTCTGCAAGAAAAAGCAGGATGAGATAAAAGCACAATGAGGGTTGTGTAAATCCCTTTCCAATGTTTAGTCCTTTATTTTTAAGGTCAAACACCTACAATCAGGATGAGTAGCTGTTGTTATTTGCCTGGGCCCTCATACTAATCAGTTAGCGCGCAAAAAGTGAATGAGTCACAGGTTAGATGGCATCGGACGATGAATAAGTGCGTATGACTGTTTGTACCTTAGGGGATGCCTGGATGAGTGAACGTGCTTGTGATGAGGTGTGAGTCTTCACACACAGCAGAGGGTGTTTGATGTTTGCCTGAGCAGCTAAAAACCCTGCTAATTATTACAGAAAAGGATTTCAATTCAGAAATACTTCATTAATTCCAAAGGGAAATTAAATGTTGCAGTAACTCATAAGTTATTTTTTAAACAGTAATGCCCTGCAGGTTTTTTTTATTAATACAGTGGATTTTCACATCAACAAAGGTGTGATGCAGGTCGACAAATCTTTGCATGTGATTGAGCATTTTATTGTGAATCTAGAAAATGTATGCAAATTATATGAACCAAACTAGATTGAAAGGTAAAATTACATCAAATATGCTTGTTTTCTCTCCATACTGACCCACTTTGACCAGTCTAAATATTATTGAAAATATTCATATTCATCCAAAATGTCAACCATTCAAGATACCTGGTGATATAAACTCATCTCTCCCTGTTCATAACAAGTCAGGGCTTTGGGAGTCCTCGTAAGGGACTGCAGTTTATTGGTTTATGTCGGTTTGTAGGTGATATTTCTCACCTCCTTTAGTTCAGAGCGGAAGGGAGGGCACTCTTATGAGATAGGAAGCCTGTGGCTGCCATCTGCTCACTGAGATGGGGATTGCCAGACTCACTTTGTTTGCCAGGTGGAAAAGAAAAGAACACAAAAAAAAGCATCTAGTGCTTTTGGTTTGTTGTTCTGCTGGGATCTGTCACCTAAAGCTCTCCTCATAGATGTCAGTCTATAGCTGTTGGTGAAAGGAAGGAGAAACATTTCATACTGGTATGAAGTTTAAACTACTATACAAACTGAATGAAGAACGATGACTGACCTTTTAAATCCTGGTCGAAAAGGTCAGGCATTTCTGCATATGCATTTGTTTCTATGAAAAGTGCTAAATTATAAAAAAAACCCCACACAAATCATAAGCAAATCATAATCTCTTAAAAGTCCAGTCTTTTCTTTTATTTTGAAACAGAATGTCTAGCTCTGTACTGGCATATATCGTCTATTTTATGTTTATACTGTGTGTCTTTTAGTCTGTCCACGCTTATAACAGCTCTGCGCTCCATGTGTGGGAGTGGGACCAGTCATGTTTTAAGACCATCTGCTCCTCTGAGTATTTTGGTTAGAGCCTTAGCTTCTGGTGGATCAACGCACGTCACAGGCAAGCAGCAAGGCGCAAGCTGTGAGCGGGCCTGTTCCGGAAAACATTCCTCCAGTTTGTTCCCCTTGCACAATAGGCAGTGTTCTGTAGACAAGGTTCTCATTCTTTCCTCCATCTCCCTTCATCCAAGGAGCTGAGTCGCTGCTCTTGTGCACGGTCTGCAGATCATATAAGCCGTGAAAATGTTCTCTTTGGCATGGCCAATTGTTTTTTCTGTAAACAATTTCATTGGCATGATAAATCACTAAAGGTGTCATAACCTGATTTATCTAGAATATGTATCCCAAAGGAACAATGCAATCAAAGCAAAAACAATGGACATTGATTGGAGAAAGATTTCTTGTATAACCTTATATACATGTGAGATAAAATAATCTCTTTAAATTTCTGTTAGCAAATTTCTTTATATCTAAGACCACAAAGCCAAATCAGTGGTACCGAGTTTGGTCTGATCTATACAATCTGTATAGATGATTACTTTGTTTCCAGCAGGACAATGAAGCAATGCTTATTTGACAAACAGCACAGAGGGAGTGTGGAGGAAGGTCAAATATCAACGATCTCCCCACCAAAGACCGAGCCAGCATGCTTTATGCTGCGTGTGTGAGTGGGGGGCTATGGCATGCTGCTTATTCATGTTTCCAAGGCCCTGAATGTAACAGTCTTTGATATACATCCTTTTGAGTTTTTTTGCAGAGGGATTTCCTTGAACTCACTCTTTCTGTTCTGAAGGCGTTTTAATTTAAGTCACAAACTACTGTTGCATCAAAGCCTTTGGAAAACCTTCCACACTGGAAACATAATTTAGTTTTGCTGCATTAATATGGATGTCTCAGTGGGTCTGTTCTTGTGCACCCTGCCTCCATAAATTCCTCGTCAGTGAATGTCTGGAACATATATATGATCAAATATTAGATCTGTATGTGCATAGAAAGACATAGCATCATATTAGAGAAGAAAAAACACTTTGTTGAAACTAATTATAGAACTCTTCAGTCGCAGTAAAAAATGAAGTTAAAGATCAAACTCTTTAAAGTAATGTAAATTAGCAATTTACATAATCATGTTTTTTCACAAGTTCCTCCTACACTTCATATGTTGCTCTAATGACGCCTTATTCAAAGTGGTTTTGAATCATCTCTGCTTCTCTCTTCAAACTAAAACTGGAATAGCATTGATTTGTTTACCCCCAAAATGAAATAACAGTTTTTTTTTTTTTATCAACATCTTTGGATGAATGCATTTTATATCAGATCAGATGTGTAAAAAACAAAAAATAAGTAGCAAACAATTAATTTCAAAAAAATTATTAAAGTTCTCAAATGTAAAGTTAATTTTGAATGCTCATATGATAAGCTCCTTGAATCCTCCCTGACCTTTTAATTCCATAAATCCCAGAACATATAGAGCATTTGGTGGGAAAAGTAATGCGATATTAGTTTAAAATTGGAACAGTTTGAATAGCTATTTAGTCTTGAATAATCACTGCCTTTCTTTTTAATTAGATGGAATTTCATTTAATCCAGCTTCCGGTATAAATCTTTCTATCTTGCAGAGTGAGGAAAACAGTTTCCCCCTTTCCTTTCTGGTGGATCTGTTTGTGCTTTTACATCTCACTCGAAAGACTCAGGTTTTCAATCAGATCTTAGCTTTCAATAAAAATATTCAAAGTTTTCAAATAATTATTTATTTTAGAAAAAAATCCCACACATGACTTTATTTAAATTATGTCCTCTCCTTTGGTTAAATCACAAATAGACCATATTTGGTCCCATTTTACAAGCCACCCTTACGCCATGTTACTTGTTACATGTAAAGAATCAAGATATTAATTAAATCTCTCTGTCTAGAGAGGTGGCTAAATAACCTTGGAAGTGAGACAGCATAATATAAAGAGATTCAGACACATGTTAAATAACACAAATAATAATGGGCATCTATTAGTCTGAAAAGGAATTAGGCATCTCTAAAACTAGCTTAGCTCATCAACACATGGTGAAAATAGGGAGCAGCGTTAAATCTTTTCAGAAATGATTGGCCAATCAAACTCCAAGTATGCATAGGGAATTTATCCAAGAGGAAAAAAAGCAATTCAGAGAAATAATATAGAGGTAAAACAATTCCATAAAATACAGGCTTCACTTGCCTCAGTTCAGGTTTAGTAGTGATTGTATTAAATTCCTTTTTCATGATACCACTACAAAAAATCAAAAAAGGAATGGGCCAAAATGGTATCTATGGACAAGTTCTAAGGCTAAAAGTACTGCAGACCCAAAAGAACAAAAAGTTCCAAAGTCAAATATTATCACAGAATTCAAAAACTAATCAATCAAACCAACAGTCAAATCCTGTGGTAGTTACTCTATGGTTGTTGGTTGATAGGCTTCTTCAGACCTTCTACAATCTGCTGTAATGAATGAATCCATTGATTTTGTGATGCTGCATAAAAGCAAAAATATACCATTACTTTGTAAGCTTAAGTGCGCTAGGATTATATCGTAATATGTTTATTTAAAGATCATCAGCACATCTACTTTTGGATATTAAAATATATATCTTAAAGTGGTCTAGTCAAAGCCTTCTTTTTTTACATCACACAGGCGGTTCGTGCTCACAATCTCTCCCATGCGAATAAGTTAAAACAATTCTGCTCAACACAGTGGGTCAAAGCGTTTTTTTTCCCTTTCTTATCGCCATTAGGAACTATGTATAATATTGAACGGTCTTTATTTTTCAAGGCATTTAACAAAACCAAAGCAGACTCTGAGGGGGAAAGTATCTATGACAACTTCTTTTATTAATGGGGCTTAATGAAATGTTTTGTATTTGTTTTTGTTTAAACCTTGTATATAACTCTTTCCATGTAGTGAAGAAAATTTGTTGAAGATGCTTTACTGTTAACACTCTTCAATTGCCTCCATATAGAAGAAATTAAACAAAGAAGATTAAGATGTGTCAGAATCTCAATGAAAGATAAAGATATGGAGACTACCCATGAAATTCATAACACAGGAAAAGGAATGCTGAGTGGGCCACTGACAGCTCTAGATATGACGGCAGACATATTTAAATCCACCCACCACCAGACAGGGCTCGTGCAGGCTCCCCTTTCTTCTTGTTTCCAAGTCACATTTGATTTTAACACCTTTTTTGTGTTCTTTTTACACAGAGTCTGGCATCTAGAACCCCGAGTGAGACAACCAGCTCGGGGAGAACAAAAGCAGCGTGCAGAAAACAGAAAAGAAGTCTTCAGGGTTGTGAGGCAGCAGGAGCCTGGTGCTGAGGCTGGTATGAGGCAAGTGTTTTCTGTGTGGGCCCTATAAGCGTGCACACGTATGCAGCGTGCACCATCTCAGCCGTTTGTCTGCCCCATCAATGAGGCTGTTGTTGAGGTTGGTGGTGGTGTCACTGGCCAGGCCTGGCTGTTCAGCTCTGTTCTCTCCTGCTGTTGCTGATGCAGGACCTCCCTCTATCCCAGGTCACAGTCATAAAGCTCTTGGCCTTTTGTTAGAACCCAGATGGCTGAGACTCATGTTCCTTGCCTGGATGTTTCAAAAAGTGTCCCTTTGTTTGGGCTACCTTTAGTACGAAGACCTAAAATCAACGTGTATTTATTTTTAAGAACAGAACACCTACTGTATGCTATTTCTGCTTCCCATTTCAAAGTATTTAGATAATTAACTACTAGAAAGGTCATATTATAATCTGTAAAGGTGATAACAAAGTGCCTTCTTTAATTAATATGCAGCACACTGGTCAATATTTACTTATACAGACTGTATTGCCACCATGTGGCCAGAAGCTGCAGGTTGAAAGGTAACAAGCAACAAACTCAAGAACTCCTATTATTGAAATAAGCTTCATATGAAGTTAAAATATAACAGAATTTTTTTTCGAGGTTTGGCTGCATGATGAGCAGCATGACGCAGCCCTGGCCATGTCAGACAAGCAGAAACGTTCCCTGCTGTCCATCAGTGAAGTTAATATTGGTCATGGATTCTCTGGGGGAAGTTGGGACGTGTTAATCGTAAAGCTCTGAAGAGCCATCCTCTCCCAATCTCGCCATCTGCACACACCGGCTGCTGCAGCACTAAGCCAAAATCATCTGCTAGTTCTTGTTTTAACTTGTCATGCATTTACTGGTATAGATTTGATTTTTGTTCTATTTTAACACAGTTATAGATTTACACTGAGTATAGAAAATTTAAATCATGGCAACTTGCAGTAGAAATTTGGTCATTTCTATGTTGTGAATCTCATGTTTTTTTTAAAAACCCAGAACAATACATTTCTTAATTGTGATACACATTGCAAATGATGCATACCGCCGTATGCCTTAAAACTCACGGTTTTTGATCTTGGCTTCTGGTCGTTCCTTTTAACCTCTTGCGTTATCTGTTATTGGCTATCAGTTACAGCAAAGAAAGACAAGAAAGTATTGCAGCAATTCACATGATCTAAATGGAATTCATCTTGTCCTAATTGTCACCAAGGGATAAAAAATAAAATAAAATTTAAGCAAAAATTACCTTTTTATATTATAAAATTGCATAAAAATAATATAATTTTGGATCTCTTTTATTTTTTTACAACTACCAACATACTGATACTCTTTAGGCAGTCACGTTACAGGACTTGGTAATGGTTGTAATCTAGTTTGATTCAAACTGCAGGTTTGTTAGGAAAAAATTGTGTTTAATGAAGTTTTCACCTGAAGTTGGATTTTAAATTGTCAGCATACTAGACCTGAGTATCCAATATTCACGAAAAAATGACAAGATCAAAACTACTGGTAAACAAACAAAAAAAAAAAAAAAAAAACTGGCTAAAACAGCTAGTTAAATCAATATTATAGAAACTATACAATTTTGCATGAACCTTGCATTTTCTGTAAAGTCTTCTACTGTAAAAAAAAAAAAAAAGCTAAATTATTTTGTACCCAGTAGGCCTTGTTTATGTGCTGCATCTTGCCATTAATTCTAGCACAGCACAAATAGCATCAGTAATGCTCTGATGGCATGATGTATGGTGACTGGTGTTTGGCTTCATGTTAGAACTCAGCCCACAGTGAGGGCCATTCATTGTGAGGTCTTACGTATGGCAAACATAATGAGAGACTCCACTGAGGGGGAGCTAGCAGGTGCCCAATGACGCTGCGTTTGTGGGACTTACTACTGCTCTGTGTCAGAGTAAAAGTGATGTAATCGCCTGATCATGGTGACGGGATTCATAGTTATTTTTTTGTTGTTTCTTTCTTGTAGAGAACAAGGGTGTCAAGCTATCAGGGTGTGAGTAAACACCATCTAGTGTAACTGTGGACAAGCTGCAGGGATCCAATCTGTTTTGATCTATCAGTATTTTAAGGTAAAACTTGATTCACTCACCAAAGTCCTACATATAGATAATTAATGTATTTATAGATACATTATAGATAATGAACAAATGTCAGTAAGATCCTTCTAGAATTGCCATGTTAGAATTTTATTATGTAAACCTTTTTTTATGCTTCATCAGATTTACTTGATCTGATAGCAGCTGTGAGTTTAAGTAGACTAAAGGTTGAAAATAAGGCATTCAAATAGTTAAAGGATTTAGAAACTGAGGTTATCAAGTCATTATAGATTTATCTTTTTCTTTTTCCATTGTTACAGAGTAGTTAAGACTTTATGTAATTCTACTTAAGGTATCAGTAAAACAATATCTGTTTAGAATAGAATAGAATATATATCTGACACTTTAGGAATAAATGTGATGTAAAATTTGTTTGGGGGATGTAAAAAATTTATAACAGGTTTTTTGACACAATTGGTTAAAGAAAATGTTATTATTACACCATTGCTGATTTCATAAAACAAGCTTCAGACATTAGCTCTTTTCAAAACAGGTATTTTTATGGGATTACAATCACATTTGTTTTCATCATATTTGTTTCTACCTCTAGAAATTTCATCATAACTACTGTAAAAGGAGTTAAGAGATCTATATTAGTAGAACCAAACACATACTTATTGAGAACTGATAGAAAGTGATAATTCACACACTCCAGTCAAAGGTTGGATGGGATTGAAAAAGTCACATAATTACGATTATAATTTTAGACTAATCCCACATTAAAACCAATAGATCATGCTTTTCACTCTACAGAACCTTTCAGTCGGGTTACTTATAAGTGTTGTACATGATTAGCATTGATATCAACAAGGCAAAGACCTCATATAGACTTTTTATTTCTTCTTCTTGATGATACATGTCCTGTGACTTCCTGGGTGGCCTTGCTTTCAGAAGTCTATGGTCCAGTCCTAAGCAGAGACAATGTGGTGTTTGGAGCGGCTTATACCTCTGCTGTTGATCATCAGCGGTAAGAAACTCCAGTGTTCTCTTCATTAATCAAAACAATGTGATATTCTTTGACTCTGAGATAAAAGATATAATATTAACTGATCCACTTTCTCTTTCAGATGCCAATTCTCAGTGGAATATTTGGGTACCTCGGGATATTTCGGCAATGGCAAACTCCTGTGTTGTTATCCCATGCAGTTTCATGTACCCACCTGGAATCAGGCCTGCTCGGGGAGTTCATGGTATCTGGTACTTTGGCCAGCCCTATCCACAACTGTTCCCCCCTGTAGTCTTTAAATCACTCACAGACGTTGTGCACGAGAGCTTCAAGGGCCGCACAAAGCTTCTGGGTGACCTTAACCAGAGAAACTGCACACTGCTTATTGGTAATCTCGGCACAGAGCACTCAGGAAGATATTACTTCCGTGCAGACATTGGTGGAGCCAACAAATATTCCTACCCAGACTTCGCTGAGCTCAAAGTCTTAGGTGAGTCAATATAGCCAGCATTCTTATTGGTGACCCAGAAAAACTCAAACTAAGGATGAAAATGTTTTGTTCCTTAGTTCAGCCCAACATTGACATACCAGAAGAGATTGTCAGTGACAACAGCCTGGAACTGACATGCTATGTTCCTGATAACTGCCCCGACATGACTCCAGAAATCCAGTGGATTTACACTGACTACCTGCCTGATCCGGAATTCAGCTCTGATTTTATAGAAGAAAGCAACACAGCAGTGCTCTCTAACACCCTTAGATTCACACCCAGACCTATGCACAATAGCCAACTGCTGGGTTGCAGGGTCATCTACCCAAACACCACACTGGTCTATGAGAGGATTATCTCTTTAGATGTCAAGTGTAAGTACAGTTAAACCTGTGATTGGATGTAGCATCTGGAAACTTGAGTGCTAAGAAATGCTAACATCTGTTTTACCTTACCTTTTAGATCCTCCACGATCAGTGTGGGTGAATGTATCCTCTGAAGTGATGGAGGGAAGCTCTGTGACGCTGCACTGTGAGGTGGACAGTAACCCTTCTCCTAGGATCGCCTGGCTGTTTGGAGAGCAGGAGCTGCTGTGGGACACAGCAACAAACATCTCTCTCTCCCTGGATGACATAACGCCTGAACAGGAGGGCGTTTATACCTGCGTTGGAGACAACAGCTTTGGCATTATGAATACTTCGTTGTACCTGACTGTGAAATGTGAGTCTGATGGACAATAAATTAGCTCCAGAGTACTTCTGGCTAATAGCCTGATAAACTAGATTAAATGTGAGATTAAATGTGTAATTTAGTCTGGCCCCGATGAACGAGACATCAGAAGATTGTTGATGAGAACAACCCGTTGTTTTTCAAACCATGTCTGTGCCTATTGGCCAACGCTCTGCCCAATGACTGTGACGTAGTAAGCGCGACAGATAAAACCTGGTGGGGGAGTGTAAACAGACAGCCTGTCGGTAAAACTGCGAATACGTCCCTCTTAAAAATGAATGAGAGTAGAGTCTCTTCTTGCTTACGTTTCCACGAAAACCCTAAGTCTAATCCTTCCAAAATTGATTCCAAAGCTGAGTCAAACGAGAACTGTTCAATAGTTGTTGCCATCTTCCTTGTTGCGCTTTCTCCAGCGTCGTGCAGCTTTGTCATCACGCCCTCAAAACTCCCCCCTTTTTGCATCCAGAAATTCAAAACACATCTCTGCATTGTGATTGGCCCGCCAGTTCTAGGGCCTGGGGCATTGTTCGAGGCTAGCCCACTCGCAATGATTTTGGGCGCTGGTGGGTGGGGCTAGTTTACTAGGCTAGCTGGCCAATAGACTGATTAAAAAATCTTCCATACAGTCAAAACTAACTCAGTGTATAATTGAAATGGCAATAAGTCGGAGAAGTAAAAGAAAAAAAAAGCCTAGGAATGCCTTAATTCTATCAACCACAATGTTCTTCTGTTTGAAACATTTTCAGATTAACACATGGTCCGCAAAGCAAGATGAATGGGCCAGATTTGCCCAAATCTTCTCTCTTCGAGATGCCCCTAATATTGTAAAGGCTCCTAGGACAATTTTATGAGATACTCCTCTTGCTTGTCATCTGTTAGAGTAATCTGGTCTGGGATATTGCTACAACTTTGACCTTTAAATGAGGGATATATGTTGGCTTGTCTTAGCCCGATAGCGTACCAGCAATTGAGGTGTTCCCCGCCTTCAGAGAGGGATGCAACCTGTTGAATATTATGTTTAGTCAATCGGAAAAGGTTTTCCCATGGAAAAAAATCTAAGCAAATCAATTTACCAGTTTAGCACTCCTTTAATTTGATTCTTTTCAATTAAAAATGCCTTATTAATCTCAAAAGGAAATTAAATGTTGCAGTAACTCATATTTTTTTTTCATCAAGTTGGGATCTTCTGTATCAGCCTGTCTTATACTAGATCTGGAGAAACCTCTGACTGAAGACACATTATTGTTTAAAAATCTTCTCAAGAGGATGCTCATTTTAGTCCAAAATCTCCTTTAATTTAACCAGCCCCTTTTGCTATTTGAATCGTTTTTCTCTCTTTAAATTGGTACACAAGATATCACCATTGCTTTGTCTTAAACATTAATATACTGTGAACCCGTGTTTGATCTTAATACGTTTTGTAAGATTACCTGTCTAACATCTAAATTTTCCCAAATTCAATCTGTTTGGCCTTGCTATAGACTGGCGACCTTTCCAGTGTGTACCCCGCATCTCCCCCATTGAGTGCTGGAGATAGGCACCAGCACCCCTTGCCAATCCAGCAGGAATAAGCATGTCAGAAAATGAATGAATGGATGGATAAATCTGTTTGTGGAGTTTGTTGCATGCTGTGTGGCTGTACAAACACCGGACGACCAAAAAACTTATATCTACATTTTCTTTTGTTGTGTGGTATCTCTAAGGTTTTGAAAATCATGTTTGGGATCTGCCATAAAGATAGTTTGAGATGTTTGAAGTTATGTCCAAACCTTATAAACATTTAGTATCATAGGCTGTAGAAAACTAATTTGATGTCTTTATTCAGTTTTCATGCAGATTAACTTTTCCAAGATGATACAGCTAATTCTTTGTGTAAAGAGGTCCAACACTTCATTCACATCATCATAACATAAAATAATGCTGTTTACAAATTACATTTTTTTTTAAACATTAAAATCATAATAAGTTTTGAATTGACTGGTTAGTGATCATTCATTATACTAGAAGTAGAAGCAAGATACACTTCGTCTTTTGTGCAACATCCACTAAAAGCAGACCATAAGTGTTTTAGTTCAGAATAACTACCCAATAGAGATGGGAGGCAGTGTAAAAAAACTGGTATGCTGGGTCGACTTAGACTGCTAAAAGATTTTTGCTTTTAATACCTACTTACTTTTACATTAGTTCATTTTACAAGAAATATTGAGTATTCTCTGTTCTCTTTCAAAAGAGTGATCACTCTGGCGCACCACCACCTACCGCCATTAACTATTAAAAAATAAAAAAAACGTTTTAAAGTTTTTGAATAGCACTGGAAACAAGCTGCCATTATGTTGCTGATATCATTCTCATATTATGCTGTGGTCTTTGCTTTTCATTGACTAATCCTTTAGGCCTCCAGGACCAACTTAGTTTAATTTAGTGAAAATGAGTCTTCAGTCTGAGGCTAAGACAAAACACTGCAGGACATCCTATCTGCCTCAAGCAGTTGAAAACTTCTTGTAAAATTTACAACATTCAATTTCTCAGGATCAAAAAGCTTTGGATTTCAATTGTTATCTGCCATAGATTATACATTACAAACTCTTTAAAATAGGACCCTACTTCAGAAATCCTGAACTTTTACTTTAAAACACAGTCTTTACCAAATGCATTACTGTTTTTTTTTTCATTTTTATGCCTAGGAAATATTGGTAACACACATATATGATGATTTACTTAGTAATTTCAAATTAAATTGGATTTCTTGTGATTATTTCTTTCCCCATCACTTTGGTATTTTACGACTGAAAGGGAAATTTAGAACTGCAACAAAGCTTTTGAGTTATTTGATCCTTCTTTAAATCAGTTTAAATGTTATGTGACAATATTGTTGGACTAGAAAAAGAAATGTACTATGTTTGCTTGTTGTGACCCACAGATTATCTACTACTGACAACTTTGCTATTCTTGATTGTCATGCAGTAGTTTCTAGTGTTCTATGTTTACCCACCATCTGATAACATGCTGTTAAATTACTGTCACTACTTGTTGGTGACCCACCAGATTCAAATATATGTTTTTTTCTTTCATAACTTTATTGACAGTCAACAAGAAGACATTTGTTTCCAAATAGTGCCTAGTAAAAATAAAACAAGGTAAGGTTCTCTCTTTGTATTGCAGATCCTCCTCGTGAACCTATTGTGAATGATTCCATCACAGTAGTTGAAGGCACTTCACTGGCTTTGCACTGCAACACCATGGGGAACCCAACCCCGACTCTCACATGGCTGAAGGATGGGGAGCTGGCAGGCTCCATCACTGCTGGCCAGCTCTCAGTGCTGGATATCCTGGAAGTCACGCCACAGCAAACGGGACAGTATCGCTGTCTGGTGGAGAATGAGCATGGACGAGCCAGTGCTTCCCTCAATATCACTGTCGAATGTGAGTGCTTCACTCCCCTGTATTATTCTTAGTGGAAAATGTAAAGAGTTTGAGAAAATTAAGCTCTGTAACTGAACTAATCTAATCTTCATTGTTTGTAACTGTTAAGCAAACATTTCATGAAGGTCCCAGTGATAATAGAGCAACATTACAAACAACTAAACTGGCTTCTTAGTATGAAAATATATCCCCTGCTCTTACCTAAATTTGTCTGGCCTTTTTCCACAGATGCCCCTGTGTTTCTGGAGGAGTCAAAGTGCACAGTGGTGAGGGAGGGGGTCCAGTGTGTTTGTGTGGCCGTGGGGAACCCTGAACCCACTATTGAGTTTTACCTACCTGACCTCAACATCACCATCAATGAAACCGATAATCGGTTCAACTTCTACACATACTCAGATGGTCACACATCCACTGCTATGATCAAGCTGAGGGAGAAAGGTGAGCGGACTGACAACAGCGGGCCGGCTGTAAACGTCCTTTGCAACATATATAACACCTATGGGAAAGAGAACGTCCTTTTGGAGCTACAACAAGAAAGTGAGTCCAAAGAAAGCTATATTTGCTTTAAATGTTATCATAGGCTTTAACGGTTAAACATTGTGAAATATAAAACATTGTTATTTCAAAACCCAAATGTTTCCGGTTACATAATCAATCAAAGGTGAAAAAAGCTGATGATGAGCTAATAAGATTTTATCCATTGCCTGAGTATGAGGTAATACAGGAAATGCGTTGTACATTTTGATGAAAGCATTTCCCAAGTAAACATCCTTTGACAGAGTAACCCTTTAAAAAACTCATTTACCAGGTAACCATTTCCTCAAGAATCACTATCTGCTGTGCGTACAGTCACCTGTTTAGTTCATTACAAGATTTCATTTGAAAACACAAAGCCTTGAATGTCTTTTGCAAAGATAGAGGATCATTTCTGTGTGATACTTTAGTGAGGAAAACGAAGTATTTGAATGCTTCGCTATTATTTTGCAAATTCTCCCACTTAGATGCATGTGTTCTGTGGAAAATCCAGAAATCACAATGTATGAATTTTTAACTATTTATTTGTATGATCCAGCTGCAAATAAATATTTGAAAACTTGTCTAGAAGAAGCTAAACATGACTGTCAGTCTCCCTCTGACTGGGGCTCCATGCAAGATCTCCCCTTATCGGGTCTCAATGATCCTTAGAAAGGTGAGAAATCAGCACACTGATCAGCACTGGGACAACCGTTTCTAAGGTTACTGTGGGTAATACACTAAGGCGCCATGGTTTGAAATCATGCATGCCATGGAAGGTCCCCCTGCTTAAACCAACACATGTCAAGGCCTGTCTTAAGTTTGCCAATGACCATTTGGATGATCCAGAGGAGTCATGGGAGAAAGTCATGTGGTCAGATGAGACCAAAATAGAATCCTTTGGTCATAATTCCACCAAACGTGTTTGTAGGAAGAAGAATGATGAGTACCATCCCAAGAACACCATCCCTACTGTGAAGGATGGGGGTGCTTGCTTTGGGGTGTTTTTCTGCACATGGGACATGGCGACTGCACTTTTTTAAGGACGGTATAACTGGGGCTATGTATTGCGAGATTTTGGGGGACAACCTCCTTCCCTCAGTTAGAGCACTGAAGACGGGTTGAGGCTTGGTCTTCCAAAATTACAATGACCCAGAGCATACTGTAAGAAGCTTGTCAAGGTTCTGGCATGGTCTAGCTAGTCTCCAGACCTAAACCCAATTGAGAATCTTTGAAGGGAGCTCAAAATCCCTGTTTCTCAGGGACAGCCCAGAAACCTGACTGATCTAGAGGACATCTGTGTGGAGGAGTGGGCTAAAATCCCTCCTGCAGTGTATGCAAACCTGGTGAAAAACTACAGGAAACATTTTACCTATGTAATTGCAAACAAAGGCTACTGTACCATATATTAACATTGATTTTCTAAGGTGTTCAAATACTTATTTGCAGCTATATCATAAAAATGAAAAGATCCTGCATTGTCTCTCATGGTGGACATGCACCTATGACGACAATGTCAGACCCTTCCATGATTTCTATAGGGAGAACTTTCAAAATAGCAGTGTTTTCAAATTCTAATTGTCCTCACTGTATGTTCTTTGAATTATTTTATAAGTTAAAATCAGCTATGTTTGATTTTGAGGGCGGTAATACCTTATTTGTGTTTTACGAGTTATCCGTAACTCATGAATTGCAAATGTACACAATCTGATTTTTTTACACCATCCTGAAGTGTTAATATGGCTTTGGCTATACAAAACATCAAGTACAGATATCCAGATCTTTACTGTAGACCTGTATTGATCTCTTTGAGCAATTAAAAACTCTGCTGATGTTAGTCCTTCATTACTTTAGGTTAAAGTACTGTAATCACTCCCACATAATCTATCCGCCCCAGTAAATTGAGTCTGTATTGATCTACAATAGAGAATAAACTTCAAATAGAGAACGAGTCCTTAGTTTCAGTCACACAACACTTTGTTTTCAGGATGTTATACAAACCCATGAGACTTTTCATCCATCCATCCATCCATCCATCCATCCATCCATCCATCCATCCATCCATCCATCCATCCATCCATCCATCCATCCATCCATCCATCCATCCATCCATCCATCCATACATCCATACATCCATACATCCATGCATACATCCAAAGACTCACAGGAAACAAAACCACACCTGCACAAAATGGTTATGTTCATGAACTGTTGAATGGGGGCAACAGTTCCTTCAGATAACCAATGCATACACTAGGAGAACATGTGTACTACTAAAAAACAGTTATTTGGTTAAGCTGCTTTTCAACAGTCAAGCCATGTTTGTGATACATTCTCCTCAGAATGTATCACAAGAGTTATGGGTTATAAAAAAAGGAAAAAAAAATGTTGGAACTGTAACCATACAGTCATATGTTTACATATCACCTTTTTCAGTGCTGCACTTTAAAAAGTGAAAAAGTTTAGAGAGCTGTACTTAACGAAATTTCTTTTTGTTTACACTTGTGTGTACAAAATCACAAAACAAAATCTGTCTAAGTCTAAGAATATTGAGTTTTCAACAAACTAGTTCAGATCAATGTAATAGTTAAATGGAAATCTACCAGTAGTATTTATAATTATGGATTAACAGTATGTGTTTCTTGGTACTTTCAGTACAAATCTTAGAGTCATTTTGTTTTTTTATTATCTTTGTGATTTTAGAAAAGTACATGATGGCAGTCATAGTTGGCACCATTGGAGGAGTCGCGGTCATTGCCTTCATCATCGCAGCAGTGAGATATGTTGGTCAAAATAACAAGAAGTAAGTATAAATGGCAAACTAATGGAGAGGCCAATGTAAGACAGAGGCCTTATATTTGCTTACTAAGCATTTACTGAAATCCTTGGAAACACTTAAGCCTAGTCATCCATTCTAAAACACACGTATGCAGATTGTATTTGAGTGAATGTGGGATTGATGTGAACGTGAGCATATTCTGTTTAGAGCAATTTCAATTTATTTACAACAACATAACAGAAAAAAAAAAAACAATCTTTGCAAATTCACAATGGTTGCCTTGTGAAGGTAGTTAGGGAGCTCGACTAACACTATAGTTTTAAGGCATGATTCTCCACTCTGACATCGCTTCCGTATCCTTGACCTGCTGTGCTAAATACAACCCAGGTAGCCCTTTTAACCAAGTTGCTTTGATTTAGCCCCAAGTTCTCATCGGGCCCCCAAATTTGCAAGCTTTTCCTCAGTAGATCAGCAATCTCAGCAACTAAACCCATAAAATAACCACGTCACTCACAGCCAAAGACAACCTCCAGCATAACCTTGTACAGCTTGTTTTAAAATGGATGCCCAGGCTTGGCGTGTCGCCCAGCATTACTGGCAGTTGAGACCGAGTCTGATTATGTGACTCCGTCCCCCAGAGAGAATGGCAACCCTAGGCAGGAAGTGGTCCTGGAGAACCCAGCTTTGTACTACAGCGCAGTCAAGAAGGACAAACAAAATCTGAGGAAGAAAGTGGTGAGACATAACGGTGTCAATAATTCAGATTATAAATACAAAGGGGTTGGACAACCATTCTCAAAATGTTTGGGGTTATTTGTGTAATGAAAAAAAAATATAAGACCCCATTTTAACCTCTGCCAAGAGGACATACAGTAATCTCTCCCACTAGCAGTCTAATAACCCCGACAAAGACCTTTCAAAACACTGTTTTTCTCCTGCTTTCATCGCTTCTCTGCGTTTTCTGTCTGTTTTTTCTCTCCCCTAACTCTTGCACAGCTTAAGACAGAGCTGTTGGGCTCAAAGTTTAACTCCATTCTAGAGGAGACTACGGTAAGGTTCCTAAACGAATCCCTATTAAAACACAAGCCTCGGTGACAGATGCTTCCCCTCGCATATCAGCTTCTCTGTTCTGTTCACTTCAGATTGTTTTCCAGAAAAGCCCTCTTCATGGCTTTCTCATTAGTAACACAAACTGCAAAACTAACAGCAAAATGTCGTCAGTCCTGCTGTCATATGTCAACCAATAACTGCTAACATATTTTTTTCATAGTATCTTCATGGTACTTTTACAGTTATGGTACTTGTGGTGGTGAATGGTTCCTTTGCCCGCAGGGAGAAGACGGGGATTTTCAACCTGTGGGCTCTATGGCAGGAAAGGATAAGCAAGAGCTGAATTACGCTGCTTTGGAGTTTATCGGCGCCAGGCCCAGTGGGGGGGCCTCAGGGAGGGGGGATGACGGCAGCAACTATACAGAAATCAAAGCCAAATGAATCGCGATCCTTCCCTGATCCCTCGGCTATGCGGGACGCAGCGGCAGCCAAGAGTTCCATACATCTTCAACAGAAACTTTAATTAACTCCTTCACTGGAAATCTCCCAGATTATGGTGACTCACTGTTTCTCATTTTTCTGCATCGTTTATAATGTTCAACTCGATGACAGTGGCCTCCCCTTTGAAGCCTCCACGCTTTTTATACACCACTCTTTTAAAAAACTGTCAGGTTTCCAGGATGAAGCAAAGTTCACAGAGCAATATACGTACATGTAATTCATTATTTAAATTACAAGCTTCAGTTCTTTATTGTTTCTACATCGTTCGGTGTTGTTTTACCCTTGCAGTTACCCTATCTCATCTGTTTCTATTTATTCATCTGATTACTGTCACTGCGTCTGCTGCCAGTCGAAGCGTCAGGGTAGGGAGTTACTGAATTTTTTCTTCTGTCTTCTTCAAATCAACAGAGAGTAAAACATTTCCCCTCTTTTCTGGTTTGGGTTCCTTATACTTTAACCACATAAATGTATGGAGGCATGATAGAGTTACACTTCTCGATATCTTGCCCCATCATAACTGTATTTAATATGTTGTGGAACTCAGCAGACATTGGAAACAGAAAGATAAAATGACCCTGAACCCTCTTATGACAAACTGCCATTTATTTACGGTGTTTGCCCCTAATTTATACATGTTTTTACTCACTGTGGCAAGTGCGGGATGATTTTTTCCTCTCCCCAAATGTTTTCTCCCACATTCTGAAAAACATATAAAGAATAGGTTCTGAAGTATATGTGTAAGGGGCCACTGTGTTTTCTCCTCTAGACAATGTGTGTGTATGTATGTGTGTGTGTTGAATATGTGCTGAGAGATCAACTACCTGTGATTTGTGGGATATCTGTTACAGAGAAAAATGGCTTCTCTTTCTCATAGGATTACATCAAACTTATGAATGACAAAAGTAATGCCAACTTGTCAACTGGTTGTGCTGCTCAAATACATTTGATAAGCCTGTTATGTAATATTAAAGCACACTAATAATCTAACTTAATAAGGATGTCTTATTATAATCAATAAATTGATGTATATTTATGAAGAAAATGATGGCTGTGTGTGTACAAAATATCTTGCATGAGTGTTTGATAAATTGAAAGCAGTCTTGCTATAAATTTCCCCAGCCAATCTGGATAAACACTGTCTTAATATAAGCTTAAATAGTATTATTTAATATTAAAATGAACTGTTTAGATTAGTGTGAGAAATGAACGGGCAACTTGCACATGCAGAAGTAAAGAGGCTTTTCGCTTTGACTGATTTCAGCTGGTTCAGAAATATTAAACCCATACTACAAATTATTATTCATTGGGTAATCGGTTCTGTTTTACTAAATATGCTGATATCAAGTTTCTTCTTTTGATTTGGAACCCTTAGTATCAAATTAGGCCATATTATGACTATGAAATTAAACCAAAGTGTATAATGACATGATTTTACAAAAGATATTTTTACATTTTGAACATTTGATAAACTGTGAGAGTGACAGAGTTGCTCATTCACACAGCTTTACTGTAGCGTTGTGGTTGCAGCACATCACAATCCCTGATGGAGCATTCTGGAGCAAACTGGCATCAGTGGCAGCAATTCCATCCTGCTGGGTTGGTTTCATCATGTAAAGCGATTACTGTACTGGAATTAGTGTAAAGCTCTGCATTGTCACAGATATCTAATGCAGGTCTTATCTCTCCTCTGTTTTTTTTTTTTTTCTTTTTGCTTACCAAAGCAGTCTCAACAAACACCTATAACAAACAATTCAAACTTCCCATTTGGTGAATAATGCACCAGAACAAGGCCAATTGTACAAAATAATTGGTTTATCTTGCTCTCTGTTAGAAGAGGGCACACCTCCAAATTGCACCCATGTCCAGCTATGCTGGTTGCTAGAACACCAAAGAAAGGTTTTGTTGTTTTTGTTTAGTGTAACATATTTCTATCAGAGTTTCATGAAAAAGCCCTGGAATTGTTTTTGATAAAGAGACACCAAAAGAAGAGGGAGAAATAATGAGCAACAGACAACACTGTTTACAATACAAACTTTTAAATGTTGCAGCATAGCTTATAAACAAATTTGGACTTCCAGATATAGTGTGATTAGATCTTATTGATGTTATAATTACAGACTACTGTAAGTCTTATGTGTTGTAATATAGAAACAAATTCTATTACTACACTTCCACAATAAAAACTAAAATAAAAGCATGGAATTGAAATAATTATAAAATGTTTTTTTGTCAAAGTGTTCAACGGATAGAAAACAAAAGTATAGCATGCTGGTAAAGGTTCTAAGTCATCCAGTTCATAGTCATTCCAAAATATATATATATATATATATATTAAAAACAATCCACTGGACTTAGTTTTGGAAACCAACTCCAGTGGATTGTTTTTAATTTTATTTTGGAAAAAAGTATAGCATCTTTTTTCAAGATTCCAGTTAGTTAGCTTAAAGACAGATGTTATGGATAAATAGTTGTTTTTGATAATAAACAATATGGAAAGAGTGATAGACCTACATCAGTGTTAGATGTAAATACATTTTCTAAAATTAAAAAGTCATAATCTGTTCGGTAAACCTGTTAAAATCGGTAGAAAATGTTGAGGCTTAGTTTTAAAATGAAAATAAAAACTCAAGAATAATTTCTAAGTTCTTGTCTTTTAGTACACAATGCAAACATTGTGCTACTGAGACTAAACAGCCAACAGATGTCTTTCAACTGGTGCTAATTAATGATAAAATAAAATATGTATAACAATAACGTAAAATTTGTTAGACGAAATGGTCAAAGTTGATAGCTTTAACTATTTCATCCAAATATTTTTGCTTTTTATTAAGACAGTGTTCCTATTACAACACCGGAGGGCTCCGGATTACTGGCCTGCAGTCTTACAATGCCTATTTTTCCATATACATATTAAATCATTAATCCTTTGTCACAGTGTGTTGAACAGTAAATTTGTGCAATACTTTGTGATTATTATCATGGTGGATTTTCTTCTACTGTTCTGATATTCTGACAAAAATAATTCAAATCAGGGTTTTTTGCGATGTCTCTGCAATTTCAAACTCAGATATTTCAGTGGCAAGATGGTTTCCTTATATTATGATTTGCTCTGTTTTATTTTAAGCGGTCAAAAACTCATCTGTCCTCTGTTTGACAAAAGTTCAAATAAAAGGCAAAAAGAAACAAATTACAAAAAACAACAGTGTATTATTGAGTAAAACAACATCTTATCATGTGTGTTCTTTTTGGAGATTAGAGAGTGTTTGTTTTTGGAGTAGTGCGCCATCTTGGTGACATAAAAACGGGTAGATTTGTATTAATATACAAATGGATAGACATATTGTATCTTTATAGAATTGTTTTATTTGAGCATTAATTATATTACAAATTTTATTATTTGACAACTTTACATGCCAGTTTAATCTCAATATTAAATATTATGTTGAGTTTATATCAATAGACTGTCACCTTTTGTATTAATTCTGTATTTTGTGCGATAAAACACAACTAATGAAGCATCATTGTAAATCATCTGAGTACTGTGGTGCAGAATTGCTCACTTCCAAGCAATGACTCTAGCTAATGACGTTAGTGGACATTTTACGTCACATGTAGACACAGGAAAGAGAATCATATCATTACAATTGACAATAAAATATGCATTCACACAGTCTCTCCTATGGGCACAAACAAGTGTCCAATGTTTTTAGTTAGCTGCAGTAGTATCAGTAGAAAACCTCAGTATTTTGGTAAATTCCACGCGGAAAGGAGCAGCTAAGTTTCTACTTAGTTTTCAACTTAGACCTATAGATATTTACATGAGCATAACAGCTTAATTATTAACATAATTACATGTCATGGAAGTGCAGGATTCATCCAAGTAGAATAATGAAGCAATCTTTTTTTGAAAAATAGAAAGCTATTTTAACTTTGCAGGTGAAGTTCTTCATTCTTTTTATTTCAGCTCTGATTTTTCCCAATAAAACAACTTCATATTTAGATAAAAGAACTGAGGATTTTTTTGTTTTATTTTGTTCTACAAATGACTCTGCACTATTTCTATCATATTTCTTACAGCTTTACCTTCAGCATATAATCCATTCATCCATCCATCCTCTATACCCACTTCATTTTTAGGCAGGAGGAAGACAGGAAGGTAGTCATTCAAAGGGGATTCATTACATTTAAACAAATATTTAATACAAAATAATTCAAATTTAGCTTTAATATGGTGAGTTTTGTAGAAGAGAAAATATAATTTCTTAGCAACATAATAACAAAGAAGTAATTTCAACAAAATAAATCTTCAATCCAGAATTAAACTTTTTTTTGTTACTGCAGTAAAAGTTTGCATTATTATATAGAAAAAAGGTTTGCATGTGAGCACTTTTTATCTTGTTTGTTTTTCTGTTATGCTTTACAGATTTTCCTTTTGTTGGATTTCTGTCGGAAAATATTCCTCACTCAGTTCAATCTAAAATAAACCACCAATATCACTCTCAGCTTTGATATTAAATGTACAAATAAAATTAATCATAAACTATATTCTAATAAAGTAGCAATTGTGAATTGGATGGATGAAAAGTGAAAAAGTCTGATCGTTTTGTATAACATCCTGAAAACATGTGTTGTAAGACTGAAACAAAGCAGTAGTTCTTTATTTGTGGTCTATTCTTTGTTGTAGAGAATTAAAGTGGAGCCTTTATCCCACAAAGTCAGCATAAGATCAAACAACTTAACATAAACCAGGGTTGATCTCTACAGGCTGAACAAGAGTCACAGAGACGAGGTAAACTGAAGGACAAGGAGACAGAGCTATACTGTAGGTAGGAAAGAAAAGAAAAGGGAAGACGGTGATGTGGGAAAAAAGGTGGAAGAAGATAAGGATAAATTACACTAGGGTGTTTTATGTGTGATGATTTTCTTAATAGAAAAAAATCCAATATTATTTACCATGTAAAATTTCAGAAATGCATAAGAAAATAGTATTAAAGCTACAGTGTGTAATAATTACAGGGATATAAAGTCAGAAATTTAATATATTATACATAACTATGTTATTTATCATCACCTATGAGCTCAGCCTTTTAACCATAATATTTACGTTGCCTTAGAATTCGTTATTTATAATTACATAGGAGCGGGTCTCGCAGCCATGGAGGCTGACATCTTTGCGCTACGGCAGCGCAGAAGCAACAAACTAGCGATTGCGAGATCGCCCATTACGCTCGAAAGTAACTACGGCAAGTTGAGAGAGATTAACTGAGACGGTACTGAACAATAGATGGCAGTATTATGCCTGAGAAGCGTTTAGTCTGCCTGAAACCAAAGAAGAAGAAGAAGAAGCAGGTATACTGCGCTTCAGTAACAAGAAAGGTGAACAAGGCGGCAGGCGTGAGTGACTTTGCAAACTGTTTGGCACTGTGTGGCCAAACATCAGACGAATGGAGGATCATGCCTACTCTGTATCACAACAAAAAGCGGCGGACACCGAACCCCCGTCATCTAAGAAGCGGAAACACAACGAGAATAAACGCAAGCGTGACAAGAAACGGCAAAAAACACGGATCAACATTGGCACGGCATTTACACGATGGAAGGCACTGACGGAGGAAAAAGGTTTTCAAAGTGACGCTCAAGTTGCCAGTTTTCTGTTGGACAGGTAAGGCCACAGCTTCATAAAATTACCACAGCTGATAGTGGCGTGTGTGAGTGTGAGAGAGACAGATATATGAAGCTGCATATTAGCGAGCTACGGATATATACCTCGGTTACTTCTCTCCGGCTCCTTTGGAGATCTTCAATTCTTTCCTCGTCCGCTATAGTCAACCCCCGCTGGCACCTCTTTCTCGCCTGGCCCTGGCTGCACGCCCACCCCGGCCTCTCTGCCCTCTTTTCTCCCTCTTCCTCGCGTTGTAACCCCCGTGCCACAAACAAGACTTGGACTCTGTAAATGGGGAATATATACCGGTATTCTTCCAGCGAACACAATCTCGCTGTTAAACTAATGACTACAATTATTTCGTCTGTTTATATCACCATGCAAAGCAGCTCACCAAAACGTCACAACGATGTAGAAAAAAATAACGGGTATATTTATTATTATCAAATCTATACCCTACACAGACTAATGAAATACTATCTGTAAAATTATCTATGTAAACAAACCTCATTACTTGAGAAGGTAGGTGATTCCGACGTCGTGGAAGACATTTTGTCCCGTAACGCTCGCCGTATTGTTGGGGGGGAGAAGCGGTGGGGGGGAGATGTTCATGTTGCTGCAGTCTGCAGTCTGGACGTTAGATGTCGCTGAAAATTACACACTGTAGCTTTAAATGAGCATGATACACAAAGAATACTTTTTTATGCTAAATTTTATAGCTGGCCTGATATTCAAGTCTTTAATTTTTAATGTTTTATCTTTGTTATCTAATAACATCAGAGATAGATCATAAAATATTCAGGTTTTCATCTAACACTGATACACCATGGTCCTTGTTCCATTAAATTTGTTTTATTATTATTTTTATTTTATTTTTTTGTTCTGAGGTATGACAGGAAGTGATGTGGATCAGTCCACTTTCTATCAGTGTATGGGCCTTGGAAAGGACCAGCAGACATTTTGGGTTTGGGGCCTATGGTTTGTACCAGAGCAAGAGAGGTAGGACAAAAGAAAAGATTGAACTTTGTAATTGTTGGCTGAATTAGAAAAAAAACCATCCAGAACCATTATCAAGCTTGCACATTGAACCTCATTTTGCCTGCGTACGGAAACTTGACCCCAGTGCCTTAGTAGTGGCTCAATGGAACTTGAATTGGATGTTTGGCTTGGTAAACAATCACCACTAAATGTAGCATTAAAAGTAGATAAGAGTAGCATGCCTGTGTAAACAGGTACAAACAGATTTAAATTTGAGGGCAACCGGGCTTTCGCTCAGTTTTAGAAGAAATTCCGATACCTATCTCAAGTTGAATCTCTGATGTATTTAAGCAGCATGTAGGTCCATTCTGTTGGAATGTGTCCATCCTGCAAACATTCCAAGGCAGATGCAAATCAAATAGCCACTCATTGTTCTTTTGGATTGCAGGAGCCTTTTGTTGTTCAAGAATTAGTTGAATGGTGTTTTGAATAATTTCTGTGGGATGAGTTTCAAGATTGTATTGTAAATGCTTGGAAGGTGAAACAACCTTCCATCCCCTCTGTTCAATGATTATTTTTTTCTGTTTTCACAAAGATGCTTCCTTGACTCCTCTTTTAAACCATCTGTTTGCTCAGTCCAAAATCTGAACACCTTGATCTTATAATGTGTG